CTTTTAATGTGGTTCAGCCCAAGTGTCTTATTGCCAATCCAGTTGTCCCTACCCAATTCTTAATTCCATCATGGTATCAGAGCAGGTTTTGGCCCACCTCGTTTGTCAAGGTGTCCGTCTAGACGTTCATTCCTAGCGGCCCGTTAGTCTCTAGCCCAGTTGTCCGTATGGCGTGTGTATCCAACGGCCTGTGGCCCGTTTAACACGATTGCTCGTCTGGAAGTCCATACCCAGCGGCTCGTGGTCCTTTAGGTGTTGGCGCTCAAAAAAAAAAATCGAGGGATGGGAGTCCATTTGCAAGTGGTCAACTGGTTAGATTCAAAATGGCCCAGTTGTCCACTTGAGGGGGAGTGTTAAAAGAGTATCCCACATCGGAACTTGAAGGGAAAATAAACCGGTATATAAGCCCTTGAGTTGAACTAACTAATCGATTGGATTCAATCTTTTAATATGGTTCAACCCAAGTGTCTTATTGCCCAATCAATTGTCCATATCCATCCTAAAATTCTTTCATGGTATCAGAGCCAGTTTTAGCCCACCTAGTTTGTCAAGGTGTCCGTCTAGACGTTCATTCCTAGCGGCCCGTTAGTCTTTAGCCCAGTTGCCCGTATGGAGTATGTACCCAACGGCCTGTGGCCTGTATAACACGATTGCTCGTCTGGAAGTCCATACCCAGCGACTCGTGGTCCTTTAGATATTGGCGCTCATAAAAAAAAGTCAAGGGAATGGGAATTCATTTACAAGTGGTCAACCGGTTAGATTCAAAATGGCCCGGTTGTCCACTTGAGGGGGAGTGTTAAAGAGTATCCCACATCGGAACTTGAAGAGAAAATAAACCGGTATATAAGCCCTTGAGTTGAACTAACTAATCGATTGGATTCAATCTTTTAATGTGGTTCAATCCGAGTGTCTTGTTACCCAATCTAGTTATCCACACCCAATCCTAAATTTATCAAAACTCTCAAGCTATTACCAAACAGAGTCATGACTTTGTCTAATAATAATATTTTAACGTTCGTATTTTGAATAAAATTTTAACATTGTAAATTTTGACAACAGTAAAGCTAAATTCAAAGACTTTTGTCAGACGGAGCCTTTATTTAAACTCCATTAAAAGTTTAAAACTACGGAGTAAATTTTGTTTTCTTTATACAATTAAAAAAGGAATTATTTGTGGCTGACTAAATTACTAGTAGGGGAATATGATTGGTTTAGACTGTGTAGTGGTGGGGTGCATGACTAAGGATTCCTCAGCGCCATCTTTGGAGTTCCGATGGGTATGCCGCATTTCACGACCAATCCTCATTTAAATTTTTACATACAATTCCTGAAAAAAATGTTGATATATTGAGTGTAAATTAAGAGTTACGTGGCAAAATTTTTCGTATTTTGAAGTCATTTAATTCATAAATTGGTATATCAATAGAAATTAAAATTTACATATTAAAAAATTAAACTACATCAAAAGTTTAATAAAATAAAATGTGACAAGAAAATGTTTTTATCAATAAATACTTAATTAAAATAAACAAATAAACAAAAGTTATCAATGAAAGATAAAAAAAGTGTAATCTAACTCATTCTAACCACATCTATTTTATTTTGGTTTCTATTAACCCCTTCCAGTTTTTTCCAATGATTCCCATTTTCTACAAAGTACTTCTAAACTCCACAAACAATGACTTTAAAAATGATTTATTTTTCATGTGATTATTATTATTATTATTATTACTTATAGCTTATAAGTTATTCCATTTTTTTATTTTCACCATGTACATACTTTTGTACATAAGGAGAATGAAAAATACACAGAGATGCGATGTAAGGACCAAAAGAGAAATGTGGCTGCGCCAGAGAATCGAAAAAAAGAGATTATACACAGTGCTCATTATATCTATAGATAAGGCCAGGTTTTAAGTTAAAATATTCGGATTTGGTCGGGTAGAGTTCGAGTTGGGTCAGGTACCCGACTCGACCCGATGTCAGGTTCGGGTAAAAATAATGGGTCGGGTTCAGATTATTTTATTCTCGATTCGGGATATGATATTTTAGTATTCGGTCAAGTCGGTTAAGATCAGGTTCGGGTTGAACTACCATCACTAAGTAGAATCTTTAAATCATTGTTCTACTTTTCTCCCTAACAACAATTGCAGTGGATCAGATTTAAGTCATGTTCTCTTCACTTGATCTGGTTGATTCTGATCTGATATAGAATCCATCAAATGATACTTGCATTGAATACAACAACAACAACCCAGTTGAATCCCACAACAGTAGAGGTACTTTCATTGAATGTGTTGAATATATCAAAATTTCACAATATAATCTTTTTCCATCTACAGAGTTGAAAATGGACAATGAAGATCTGACAAATCTAAATCACCATCAAAACTGCACAATTTTATTGTAAGTTCAAAGTTAAAGAAACACATTGGCAAGAGTCGATTCGATCAACTTGGGTTAAATGATCAAGTAGTCATTAGTAAAAAGTGGGGTGTAAATATCATTTCCCATCATATTTTGATGCCAATTAATATTACTCTTCTCATTCTATGAAAGTGTTTCCCATTTCTTTTCTTCCATCCCAATAAACGTTCCACATTCCCATTTAAAAAAAATTATGACCATTTCTTAAATTTAACGCTAATTGAAAAATGTTTTTTTTCTTAGACGAAAAGAGTATGAGAGCGTAATATAATACTCTTTCTGTCCCACAAAACACTTCTCATTTCCTTTTTCATCCGTCCCAAAAAAACAATTCTCTTTTCCTATTAAAAAGTTACTTTTACCCTTATTAATTCTTAACCTACCTATCACATCACATTTTTTCTCTATTAATTTATTCATTACATCCTACTTTATCCATTACATCAAAAGACATTTTTGTAAAGTCAACATTAAAATTTACTTTTTTTTAAATTCTTTAAAAATCAAAATGAAAAGTTTTTTTTTAAGAGATGGAGGCCAGGGAGTATAATTTTGGAATATGAGACATCAAACATGTTATGTTTGACTTTAACGCGAATATTCAAACATGAACCGCACCAAAAACCAAACATTGCCAATACTTGCCAAACTAGGATGTCGATATTTTTTTTAATGTTATCTGGTCGGAAAAGCTTATTCTACGTATAAGCCCGGCCACAAATATTTAAAATTTACTTCCTCCGTCCCTAAATATTCACCACATTTGTTTTTTTAATAGTCGCGGGAACTTTTGTTTATTTTGACGTTTTCATTAGTTATTTGATAAAATAAAATATTCTTGACACCTCTATTTCGAAGAGCTTTTCATGTAGTTTTTTTATATGTAATTTTTATTTTTTATTTTTATACCAATATATAAATAAAATGAATTGAAAAAACTTGATATTTTGTCTCGGGAATATAAACGTGGCAAATAATTTGGGACGGAGGGAGTAAATATTTTGTCAGTGGATGTGGGCATTTATACTATTTTTATTTTCTTAAAAAAAGTTTTTTTTCTCACAAAATACTAGTACGGAGTATAAGATTTTCTTAAAAGTTCAGAATTTGGGATTTGTGTTTCCGTAATTTGAGTAACTTATGGGCCATGTCCTTAAAATAGCATTTGAATTATTATAAGGGCCTGACATGGCCTGTAGTAAATTTGGAGAAATTTCTAGATAAGAAGAAAATGAATGACTAATTGTGTGTTTGGTGACAATAAGTGGTGTACATTTCGGGTACACTTTTAGTGACTCTAGGATCTCTCAATTGGCAAATGTGCATCAATAATGGATGTGCTCCTAACTTTTGGGCGGGAAAACAATTTTTTTTTCTTTTTTCTTTTTTTTCGCCCTCAATTCTTTTGCTTTTGTGTAGAGTATATATAGATTTTAGTTATGATGTTTTGAAAATGACGGAGTATATAATACGGACTAACAAATAATTTTAACATTTAAAAAATGAATTTACATTAAGAGGTTTTAAAAATACAAAGACTCATAGAATATGTTGATACAAAGTATAATTAATTACCCAATAGGATAGAAAGTTGTTTTTTTTGTTCTTCACCAAAGTCCCCATGATATTGGTGGGAACCAATGTCATGAGATGACCCGGAGGCATTCTGGTGCCCGTTCGTAAAATTGACGGTTCCTACCCCTAACCTCTCCGTTAAATCCCACACCCCGTCTCGACCCGAACACACCCCCACACCCCCTTCAATTGAACCCCACAAGTTTATTTGGGCTTTGGGGTCAAATTTTGACCCCAAATTATTAATCTGTCCGTCCCAAATTAAATTGCTTGTTTGTTGTTAACAAGGTCGAACTTCATTCATTTTTCTCTATTTTCATTAGTAATTTGATAAAATATTATAGTCATGTCACTTGTTTTGTAGATCTTTTAATGTAGTTGTTAAGTATGTAATTTTTATTTTTTAAATGGGTGTTAATTTAAGGGTTAAAAGTGTAATTTCACAATGATAATATATCTTTTTTGTCATATATACAATTCCAAAGGCTGTTCCGTTTGCGTCGTTTGTGAATTACAGTTGCTTTCTACTACAACCATAGTCTACAAATGTGGTATTTCGTTAGAATCCTAACTTGCAATCATAGTCATTATTTTTGTGTTATCTACTTAACCAATATCAGAACACGTCACTAGACACAATATTGATGTGAAATTATACTTTTAGCATTTAAATTAACATTAATATGACAGAAGATCAAAAAAAGGATCTTTTGTGGAAAGACACCTTTAAAAAAGGACAAAGGTAATATTTAATAATAAAAGACTAAACATGAAAACTTCATGTTATAAAAGACTAATTATGGAATTTACTCTTTATATTTTTATTCCAAAATAAAAGTTAAAATACATATAAAGTACTAATTATGATGATATATATTATCAAAAAAATTATAAAATATCAATATAGCTCTATTTTAGAGATAAGAGATGGAATTTCAATTTTGATATAGGGAGTATTAACTTTACTCAAAGTTAATATCAATATAGCTCTATTTTAGAGATAAGAGATCCTTTTTTTTTATTCCATAGCCGTTTCCACGAGAAATCTGTCCCAGAGGAAGAGCGAAATATTGTCGGAGCCCAGATCCGAAATATTGCCGGTCAGCTGTTGATCAGAGGAGGAAGAGCGAAATATTGTCGGAGCCCAGATCCGAAATATTGCCGGTGCCTGCTCAGCGGAGGAAGAGTGTAATATTGTATGGAAATATTGGAGCGGCTGACCTGCTACGTACGAGCCGGTGGTATCGCAGTTGGTATGGGCAAATTTGGGCGATTTCGACGCCTGTGGTATGGCCTGCTCAGATCGCCGGATTCTCACGACTCTACACTGTAAGCTTTGTTATGATGTCTTGGTATTAGAATGTAGGTTGTGTTCTCCTTACCTGATTGGTTCTGATCTAATTGGAATAAATTTTTAATTTGATCTGATGTGATCTGTTCTGGTTTGATCTCATCTGAATGTAGTTATATTTAATGTTATTTTTGATCTGATTTGATTTGATATGAAAGTTAAGGTAGATAGAGAAAGATAGATGAGAAAGAAATTGGGATTGTAAATTCGTTGTCATTTCCACTCGTAAAATCTGTATATAAGGCTACACACCAATAGTAAATGAATCGAATATTTTTTGTTTGATTCGTGATTCGTATTCGTTTAAGGTGATTCGTATTCGATTTTTTCAAATCGGAATACGAATACGAATCTGAATAAATATTCGAATCCTTATCGAATACGAATATGAATCAAGGCTATTCGATTCGTGAGTTTGACAAATATATTCGAAATATAAATCTAATTATACAATTTATATATATATATATATATATATATATATATATATCAAATGGTTATAAAATATTTTAAAATCTAAATGAACTGAATATTTTTAAACGAACCGAATATATTTAAACGAATCGAATACTTAAACGAACCGAATATGTTTAGTATATTAAACGAACCGAATACGAATCTTAAAAAATATTCGAACCGAATTCGAATTCGAATATCACTCCAGCTTAACGAATATGAATATTTTTCATGAATATTCGATTCGATTCGGTTCGTTTACAACCCTACTTACAAGTAGGTAACGTAAAATATAGGAAAGTTAACAGAGGAAGGTAAAAATATTAAGTATTGGAATAGTTCGTAAGTCTGAAGGCCTGCATCATTCCTTCCCCTTAGCAAAAGGTTTGTCCTCAAAACTGGACTTTGGATATTTGTTTATTGAAGCATCTGACCACTCCCAAGTTACTTCTTTACCCCAAATTCCTTTCCGTCTGACCTAGAATTTTCACCCTTATTTTGCTTGCTCTCTTTTGGCTTCTGCTACGAAGAATAGATTTTATGTTGAGGGCTAGACTGGGAGTCAATGCCATGAAACCAGCAAGGTGTGTGTGGTGCAGCAAGAAACTCCCCTCTTAAGGTTTGAAAAAGGATTAAGTGGTTGGGTCCTAGCTTCTCATTAGTTCCTTGTTGCACACTAGATTGTTTGTAGGGTTTCAATTTGAGCCAAACACAATCTCCAAGTACAAACTTAGATCTGTGCGAGTTGCCTAGCTTTTGTAACATCTGTCTTCTAGTTTTGAATATTTCTTGAAGTGATTGTGATGGACTTCCCATGTACTTATACACCATGATATCATCAACAATTACCAACATTGACTCACCTAATTTTTTTTCTTTTTGCAGGGACAAAGGCACATGAGTCAATTGGAAATTGACTACTATACTGATAGAATTAAAAAGGAAATACTCTCTCCAGATAGGTTAATTGGAATTACTAAGTTTATTACTTGGTTATCTGAAACATTCGTTGAAAGCCGACACCTTGTCGTAGAGACAATGAAAAATCGAAATGCAGGTATTGATGTGAATGACTATTCAACACAACTTGTCCCTAAGATGTGCATTTGGACCCCAACACCGGAGGGGTATGTATTTGGTTATGAAGTTTTAATCATTTCATTAATAGTCAACTAGAATTGTCAAACTAATTTACCTTTTTTTAATAGGTTCCATATTTTATCAACGAATGCTTCCGTGTCTAGAGATAGCTCCTATGGAGCCTGGGCTATTACTAATCATTTAGGGAATGTACTGTTAGACTGTGGCTGCCACATTCTTCACAGTACAACATCACAAAAGGCGGAGCTTGAAGCACTTCTCTTAGGAGTTAACTGAGTCCTTAGTTCCCCTAAGCTTAGTTGTCGTAAACTCCTTATTTGGACTGACAACTATAAGGTGTGGCACTCGATCAATTCACACCTGGGAACTAAGGGCTCGGTTAACTCCTAAGAGAAGTGCTTCAAGCTCCGCCTTTTGTGATGTTGTACTATGAAGTATGTGGCCGCCACAGTCTAATAGTACATTCCCTAAATGATTAGTAATAGCCCAGGCTCCATAGGAGCCATCTCTAGACACGTAAGCATCCGTTGATAAAATATATAACATATTAAAAAAAGGTAAATTAGTTTGACAATTCTAGATGACTATTAATGAAATGATTTAAACTTCATAACCACATACATACCCTTCCGGTGCTGGGGTCCAAATGCACATCTTAGGGACAGGTTGTGTTGAATAGTCATTTACATCTATACTTGCATTTTGATTTTTCATTGTCTCTACGACAAGGTGTCGGCTTTCAACGGATGTTTCAGTAATAAACCTAATAATTCCAATTAACCTATCTGGAGAGAGAGTATTTCCTTTTTCTTCTTCTTCAATTCAAACGCCCAGAAATATACTTGATGGGTACATTAGGACCAGCCCAAAGATATATGGTAAGTCCCAATATTCAAGGTCCGTTCCACATTTAATATTGTATTTAGGCCACTATTTGTAAGGATGAAGGCCAAGTGATTTTGGTCGGGTTATCCCAACCTAAAAATGAGGTTCAAGTCTGTCCCAACCTAAAAGTGAGGTTCAAGGCTGCCAAGTGACATGCTGAGGCGCGCTAGGGTTAGGAGACAAGAGATGATCTCCATGATCTTCTATGATCATGTTCCACGATTCCATGTCTTCGTGGATTGTGGGAGGTAGTGTCTTCCTCTTGGTTGGCGTTTTGCACCTTATAAATACTCTTTCTCCTTCCATGGAAAAGGGATCACACTCTCGATTTACAAATGACATCATCTTGCTTAATCTCTCTGTCGAGATGAACTATTACTACAAGATTATGTCATAATTCTGGTGGATTAAAGTCTATCAAAACTCATTTTATACTAATTTACTTTTCTATCCTACCTTCTATTCTACTCCTAAAAAAGAGTCTCATCCAGTAAGGTCACTTTTTTTTGTCAATGCAATTTTCATAAATATAATAACATTTTTCAAAGAGTATTTCTTTCCTTCTTACTCTCCCTGTACATACAAATCATAAAAAAATTATCATGTGACATATAAGAGTCCATATCAAAAGTTTTAGAGTTCATATCATGTGTTTCCCTTATTATGGATTTTCACATTTGCAGCAAGTGGGCCCGGCTGGTGTCACATCAATCATGGAGGTTGTCGGCATGAAACTCGAAATGGACATAGTTATTCTGCCTGTGTGGTTAGTCACCTTTTTATTGTGTAGAAGAGTCAAGCGACTTCCCATCATTTTTTGTCCCTGGTTTTTGTTTCGGTGCACATGATTATGGATTACTTGCTACTTGTGGTCCTTTTTTTGTCACTTATCTAGCAATAATCAAGTATACATAATACAAAAATATGCTGGATAAATTATTGGAAGGGCTCAAAGTGTCAAAGTGACAAGATATTCAATCTAGTACGTAAAATAGAAAAAAATGAAATCCAGAGTTCAAACAACAACACACCCAATGGTGAAGGAAAATGCACTTGTCCTCCAGGATTCAAAGGTGATGGCAAGAGTTGTGAAGGTAAGATTATGGTTTAATACTTCCGAATATTTATGGATTCAATTTCATTTGCCATGATGAAACTTAGGAATTCAAACTCCATTAATATTTATGCTAATTTTAACTTTCAAATCATATTCTATGATCACAAGATATTGATGAATGCAAAGAAAAGAGGGCCTGCCAGTGCCCTGAATGCAACAGCGAGAATACACGGGGTGATTACGAATGCACTTGACCTCTTGTATATGGGAGATCACGACACCTGCATAAGTGAGTGCCTTTTTTTTTAAAGAATCCTATTATATTTCTTCAATATTCTCGTCTCTTATTCATTTAACATTCTATAATTCTTGGGAGATCTTGTAAGATTTTTATATTCGGTGGAATAAAAGTTCCATCAACTTGAAATATTAACAACACAGCAATCAATTGAATGCCATTTTTTCATACTGTAATTATCGCCAATCTTCTCAAAAATCTCAATCGCTCTTAACATAGATCTCATTGTTTCCAACTTATTATCGTCATTGAACTTAGTTGGCATCTCATCATTAGTGGAACTAATGTCACATGCGAAGTTGTAAGAGCATTCACAATGGCAAGGCAATGCCTTGTCATGCCATGTCAGCAAATTCCACTCAAATCATGGCATTCCATGACCATTTCACCCCATTTTTCATTCCATGTGCAAGGCATGACTATCTCATTTTTTATTTTTTTATTATTTTTAATATTTGTAATTTTTGAAAAAAATATTTTTTAAAAGAAGTAAATATATTTTAATAATAAAATAGATTTTTAAAATGATTTTTTATAATAAAAAATTATTAAAAAGTGCAAAAATAGACAAAAATAACGATTTGCCACTGTATGTTACGACACTCCACTCATTTGCCACACGGTGATTGGATTACTTTTTATTGGTTGAAATCATCCATGTTACCGTGTGGCATTTCATTTTTGTCTTGCCATTGCTAATGCTCTAAGTGCAAAAATCTCTGAAAGAACCAATCCTTTATAATGTGGAGGATTTTTATGATGTAAAAGAGCCTTAACATAGGACAGAATATCTTTAGTCAATTTTTTTTTATAAAAAGAAACGAAGATTAGTATGAGAGTCATTACAAAGTGGAGGATTTTTTTCACCCGTATTTAATGAACTGAGAATTCAAGCCCAACAATAACACTACGATGTTGCTACATTTATAAAATAGATAGTTTCTATTTACTTTGAGGTAAATAATTTGACTCCAAAGTCAATAAAATTCTGGGAAAAAAATTGAATGGGAGTGGATTTGGGTCGGGTTGGGGTGAGGGGACGGGGATCATGGCATAGAAACTATCAAAATAATATTGACACTTTGATTTTAAGAACTTTGAAAAATTATTTAAGAGTGAAAGATGTTTGGTAAAAAAATTAAAAGGTGCATAATTGAAATTTACTTTAAAAATCGATCTTAAGAGTCAAATACTTAGCCAGAATGAATGCTTTTATACCACCAAGAAATGTCTCATAATAGGTTATAACCAACATTGTACTCCATAACATTTCAATTTTGTATTCATAATATGTTCGATTCGCAATGTATAGTTGTATACAATCGATTGTATGGTGTTGTTCGTACATCTGTAGTGAGGATTCATTTACAAGTAACTGAATATTCATTTTCGAATAAGTAAATATTCATTCTCAAGTAATTGAATACTGATTTCCTTAAAAGTTAGTTATGCTTGAAAATAAGCATTTAATTATTTGAAAATGAGTGCTTTGTTACTCGGTAATGAATATTCAGTTACTTGATATTAATTATTTATACGGATGGGCGTGAGATACTGTATATTCAGATTATGGTATAGGTACTCTGTTTGATCATACACGTGTGTAGTAATTGTCAGGATGAGACATTTGATTTATATCAAAAGTTTTCTAAAATAATAAATGACAACGCAATTATTTAGAGTCCATATAAAAAATTTTCTAAAATAATAAGTGACATATTAAGTGACAAAGTTTTCAAATTGGTCCAAATAAGTGTCCATATCAAAAGTTTTCTAAAATAATACTCCCTCTGTCCGATAATATTCTTCTTATTTGATTTTTCTTGGTCAAAGTTTATAAATTTTGACTATGATATATGGAAAAAATACATTGTATTAGGATATAACTTTAATATGAATATTTTCATTTTGAAATATAGTTTTCAAATATCAAATTTTTATAAAATATATCCATGTATAAATAAAGATATTAGAGGTCAAAGTGTAATATTGAAGACCATAAAAAATCAAATGGGAAGAACATTTTCGGACGGAGGGAGTAAGTGACAATATAATTATTTTATCAAATGGGTACTAGAAATAATTAAAAAGTGAATGAAGTATGATCTTTTAAATATTAAACATACTAGTATATTGTATTTAATTTGGGATGAAAAAGAGTGCAAAATATTACGTAGTAAAATAACTAATTTCACAATTCAAATACGAGTCTCTTTTCTGTTACACGTTTGGACAATACTCGATTCTTGATTAATTACAATGATTTTTGTAGTCAATCAGCAATCTGGGTCAAGAGTGGGGGGTGGGGCAGGAAGGTATGGAAGGGATGGTAAGGTAGTTTAGGGGTAGAAATTACAAGTTTTACCAAAATCAGATAGAAATCTCGAGTCAAGCTATGACATGTCATTCGAACTAGGGACGTAAATGAATCGAATATTTTGTGTTCGATTTGTGATTCGTATTCGATTTTTTCAAATCCGAATACGAATACGAGTCTGAATAAATATTCGAATCCTTATCGAATACGAATATGAATCAAGGATATTCGATTCGTGAGTTTGACAAATATATTCGGAATATAAATCTAATTATATATATATATATATGTGTGTGTGTGTGTGTATATATATATATACATATATATCAAATGGTTATAAAATATTTTAAAATCTAAATGAACTGAATAATTTTAAACGAACCGAATATATTTAAACGAATCGAATATTTAAACGAACCGAATATGTTTGATATATTAAACGAACCGAATACGAATCTTAAAAAATATTCGAACCGAATTCGAATTCGAATTCGAATATCACTTCATCTTAACGAATATGAATATTTTTTATGAATATTCGATTCGGTTCGTTTACAACCCTAATTCAAACCACACGTAATTGTACAAGTCACTCACCGAAATGCAGCTAGTTTTCAAAAAGAAAAATGTTAGGGGTACACCAAATGTGTACCCCATTTGTCCCCACCCTTTCTTGTCCACACAAATAAGCAAGAAATTCAAAAAAAAAATGAATAAATAAAAATAAAATAAAAATGTGTGGTGGAGAAGGAGTGATGTACATTTGGGGCACACCAAAGATGTACCCCCAGCGTTGCTCTTTCAAAAAAATAAAATAATAGAAAAGAAAAAGGGTCACTATAATTGATTAGACGTCTAGCCAATATTTGTTGCGAGTTGGATTGCAAACTACGGAGCTTGTTAGCTGGTCCAATGAGGCCCACTTTGTACCAGAGTTTTTCCCAATTCCTTAGGCCCAATAATTGCACAGCCCACTTAGCACTTCGAATCGGCCCTTTCACGCTGTCCTCCCCGAAGAAGAAAGTCCAAGAAACAATTGAACAGAGCTCAAATCCGTAGCTCGCGCCGAATGATGGAGTTTTACGCCGGAGAAGGGAAGCGATTCAGTGGGAATTGCAAAACTCTGCTACTGGTATGTTCCTAGGGTTTGGATCTTCAGAACTCCTCTCTGATTTTGCCTTTTTTTTTCCTTTTGATTTCTGATAAATTTGTTGGGTAATTCTTGTGTTTCATGTAGCCGGCGCTTTCGATTGGGAATGTAGGACAGCTTGCTGTGGATCTATTTGTATCGTCTTTGAGAGCCGATCGGGTCGGGTTTCTAGACGACCCGAATGTTCTTCCTTGCGTTGGCAATGACGCTTATACAGCTGCTCCGCCCGGCCAGCTATCTCTTCCTCTTGAAGGTATACCCTTCATTTCTTTCTGGTTACTTTTTTTAGTTCTTCGTGATATGCAGTGGCTGATTGTAAAGATGAAAGGATCTGAGATTTATTGTGTTTTGCAGTTTATGAATCTTCTTCTTGTGAGCTGAGCATCATCCAACAGAGATCTCCAGTTGTTAAGGTACCATCTTTAGTCTTTATAATGTTGGCAGTTAGGTTTCCCTGGACATTTGTGTCAATGTGGTATCTTGGGGGCATTTTTTGCTATGGGGATGCGATTTTGATGATCAGTCATATATTGAGTAAGTTTGTGTCTTCTAATTAATGGACATGAAATTACAAGTGAGATGTATGTCAAGAAGCTTTCCTTTACACTTTTACAGCAACAACAACAAACCCAATGAAATCACTCAAAAAGTAGGGTCTAGAGATGGATTGTGTACACAGACCTTACCTCTACCTGTAAGTAGATAGGTTGTTTCCAAGAGAATCCGGCTCAAGAAGCTTGCCTTTATAAGTCTGGAATTGTTTGTGTGAAGAGTCTCCAATATCTTATTTAGAATTTTTCATTTGGAGTTCTGGGTGTTAGGACAATCACACATTATCCTTCAACATGGAGTGCTCCACAACTGCATCTTGGTTGAAAAGAAATAACATTTACTGAGGCCTGAGGGTGTAGATTGAAAAATATTTGTATACCGCCATCACATTTGAATTCTGAAAGGTCATAAGTTATGGGAAACATACCGACTATCACAGGCTCACGGATTTTCCCATCATGTAAATAATCTTCTTTTGGTTAATAGTCTGCTATTTCATTTCCCTTGGAATTTCATGGATATGTGAAATGCATTATATACACATTGCAGTTTGGTTGCATATTTGCTTGAAAACTGCACTTGCTTTCTTTCAGGAAAGGAACATCTTTACCTATACATGGCTTTTTCAAAATATTTATGGCATGATAGAATGTTTTTGAATTCTTTTGTGAGTTTTGTCTAAGCATGGCATATATGAAGTACTCAGTGCTTGCCAATGGATTATTAAACAGGGAATGATGGTCCAGTTTGCCAGGAATTTGGCAGATTTTGCTGCTGCTAGTAGAATACAGCACATTGTTTTGCTATCTAGCTTGGATTTTGGTCGTTGGCAAAGCATCGATATGTCTAGGTATTGATTACTACATGTATGCATGTTCTAACCTATTCTTCAGGCCAATGATGAATTGAGATATAGAGTTTAACTTGAGGACTTGCTGGTCCAAGCGCAAATAATACTGCCACTCCTGTCCCATATTGATTCTTGTTAGAGCAAAAACAGGGAAAGAATTGTCCTAAAATTATTGTAATTTTTGAAATTCAATGCATATTTTCTGCGAATCTTCCGAATTTGCCTATATGGCTACATTAGCTCTTCATACATTTAATGCTTGTGTTGCTTGAAAAGAAATAAACTTCCTTTTAATGTTGAAGTTAAATAAGGGTAGAGAGAATAGACGTTTTCTGGGGATCCTTAATATGTGAGCTCTTTCTAAACTGTCAATTATTTTGAGATTAAGGGATGAGGTGAATAACAGTTTGATTGCATTATGCTAATAATGATGCTGCAAAATGCTTATCTGAAAATGCTAATACGATCAGCATTTTGAAAACCAACATTTCAACATTGTCTTTTAGTTTCACTTTTTTCGATTTGTGCTTAGTTACCAAACATATTTTCAAAACCTTCTAACTTCTAAATCAAGTCTTTTTTAACAAACTGCTATCTACCACTTGCGAAATGCTAGTATTCAGTGGGTTTTGGCTGGAATATTTGAAACAGATTGAATTATAAACAAATTATAGTTTTCAGTGGGTTGCAGACATATTATCTCTCTAGTTCCAGCTTGGATGGAAAGGACGATGAATGTGAGAGACTAGGGTTCAAGATGTTGCAAGAATATAACCCGTCTCAGAGGATGTGGAAGTATCTAAGCAATTTAGCTGAAAATGGGGAAGAAGATTGGCCTTTTGAAGAGCTGGAAAATGAAGATTACCTTGCAAGTCTACCTTTTGCTGCACTTTTCTCTTGTTTTAAGGTTAATTTTTTTTTCAAAATTTCTTTTCTGCTTTTTCTAAATGAAGCACTTTTTTTTAATCACTCCTTTCGTCCCGTAATGAGAGTCCTATTATGGGGGTGGTGATATATTGTTGTACCAGGCCAAAGGTGTGAAGGTTACATGCCTAATGTGTTATTGCTCGGAGGGAGACAACATACCCGAAGCATTTCATTTGGCTGAAGCCGCATCACAACTTCTCAGCCTCTCAACTAAAAGTTTCGGAGGTGAGTTTGTTTAATTACTTTAATACCACCCCCATGTTTCACGAGCAATTTGTTTAACTATATTATCATTATTTTTTTTTGTGTTCGGCAAGGCAATGAGGTTGGCAAATGGATTGTCCCGTTTTCTTGGAAGAGTGTGTACGGACCTCCCTCGGATATGTCTCTCTTTTAGGTAACCAGCATATGTATTTTGCTTTCCTTAAGGATGCTAGCTCGACTCCATCTTGTCTTTCTAAATATTTGGTACGTGGTAATTGGGAAAACATCTGTGTACGGTCTAAGGCTTATCAGCTATGTTGCACGGATTCTTCTCGTCTCTGAAACATTTCGGATGTCTCAACACAAGTACTTTGTAAAATATGGAAAAGTTGGTGTTTTACCGTTCTTGACCTCGTGGCCGTATGAGTACCCATCTTCGTTTCTCTGTTTTCCCATGCAAATATGTACAGAGTAATAAAATACATATCAAAATATTATTCCAATAGAGTAATAAGCCACTTCATTATATTTTATTGATAATGTTCAAGTTAACTAAAAAAACATGGTGGACAAATGTTTTACCCTCTCCGTCCCAATTTAAATGACCTGTTTCGGGTTACGATGTCCGACTCAAGTTTTGTTCAATACAAGCTATATGAGAATTGGGGTGAATTTTTTTTTTTAAAATTACATACTTAAAAGTTACATCAAAAGTTCTGCTGGCCCTTCCTTGTTCGCCTTGGTGATGGACATCCTGATGTGGGGAGTTCAAGTCCCGTGGTGCATGCTCTTTGCGGATGGTCTTGTGCTTATCATCGACTCACGCGTGGGGTTAAACGATAAGTTGGAATTTTGGCGCCTTTCCCTAGAGACTAAAAGATTTAGATCTAGTAGGACCAAAAGTGAATACATGGGATGTCGTTGCAGTGGCCGATAGGGGTGGAAGTTAGGATGGATTCCCACCCAGTGCATAAGGTAGACAAGTTTTGGTATCTTGGCTCGGTCATTGATGCACATGCATAGTTGGACGGGGATGTTGTGCACCGTATTGTAGCAACTTTGGCTAAGTGGAGGTTGGGTTCAAGGATGTTGTGCAATAAGAAGATTTCGTCTAGGATGAAAGATAAGTTCTACCGATATGTTGTCAGACTAGTTATGGTGTATGGCCCGTAGTCAGACCAATTATGGTGAATTATCTGTAGTCAGACAAGTTATGTGGTGGAGAGCTGGGCAGTTAAGAAGATGAACATGCATTGTCTTCATGCGGTGGAGATGCAGATGTTGTAGTGGCTTTTGAGTCGGGGCAAGGTTTGTGTACACACACCATCCCCAAACCTTACTTTCGAGGAATCCAACTGAGTTGTTGTATTCTGCGAAACACAAAGTAATACGATTATATTATTTTATCATAATGAGTAGTAAAAATTGGAAAAGAAAGTGAATGAAGTCAGACTTTGTGAATAATAAACATGCAATTTATTTTGAGACAGAGAGAGTAGGACATGAAGAGTATTTTTCTGCTCTCTTAGGCTGATGGATGTGGACTCATAAGGGGCGTTCACTACAATTGGCAGCCCTAGCCTCTTTTGCCGGTTGAGTCACCATGATTTACATCCTCTCACAATCTTGTCGGGCAGGGGGGGTGAGGAGCACCTGGGTTGAGCGATTTCGCGTTTTGGAACAAGAGAGGGAGAAGAACCGGGAAACTTGGGGAGGCCAGTGACCCAACCGGTTCTTCTCTCTTTGATTAAATGTGTGAGGCGTCTAGCCGGGAGACGGGACCCACACCGCACAGCCTTAGAAACAACAAAATACTTTGTACTTCATTTTTGTGCGTGCATAGGAGACATCACACAGGCAAGACAGACAGAAGCTCACGGGTGAATGTTGATTTTAGGGGGTGTGGGTGAAAACGTCAACCACATGCCATCACATTGGCCTCCCCATAGTCTTAGGTCTTTAGGTGAATAATGTTAATTTTATTTCACTATAAATATTTTCATTGTATTGGTTGAGTTTTTAGGTGAAAAACTTGTATTGCTTGAGTTGAAATCTAAGATAAAGATCATTTCAGACTAAGCTGACATTGTATTAAAATAAATTAAATAATAAACTCGGACACAAACTTATCATTATTTAGAGCTGTAATAATATAATAATATCAATTTTCTAATTTTCATGATAAATGCAAGCTTCCTATTCCATTTTTCTTAATATATAAAGTCTTTATCTAGACTTTTTGGAAAAGACCATTTGTATGTTGACTATGTTCTTTCTTAATTTATCTTTCTTTGAATTTATATATATTTATTTTGGCATGAAAATATGCCGTGTTCGTTTTGAATATTGAAATGCATAAACATTTCTAAAGTAAAAGTCGGAATAAATTAATTTGACCTGACTGCAGAAAAAACTTTGATAGTTTAAAAATAATTTGTCTAAAGGGAAAATTGGAGCATTTTGGGAGTATTTTGGGAGAGATGGATGATCAAAATTCACCAAAAAGGAAAAATTGGAGTATTTTGGAAGAGATAGTTGATCCGCCAATATCAGAAGTGGACCAATATAAAGCTATTTGACCTTTCAAATTAAACGTAACAATAGTCATGCATGCATACACGAGATAACGTGGATTCACGTCCACTTGTGTATTACACTATATTGTTTCATGTCAACTTATCATACCAAAAAACACTAATTATTTGTATCCCAAATTTGGTACTTCGAATTATACATCACATATGTGCACTTTTATTTTGTGCTAGTGTGGTACTAGGGTGATGGTTCACATAAGCAAGAAATGTAAATACAAGTTTTTTTTACCATGCTAGCATTTTGTGTAAGTGTAAATAATTAAAATGTTAGTTTATTTCTTTGGTGTAATTTTGGGGTGACTCGTTGGTGTAATTGTAGCATGGCTGTACCGAAAAAATATTACTCACTCCGTCCCCCCAAAAAAACGCTCTTTGTTTGACTTGGCACAAATTTTAAGAAAAATGAAAATGTGAGATTGAAAAAAAGCAATGAATAGCCTTTTTTGGAGAGGAATGGAGTATAAAATGTTACTCCGTACATTGTAAATTATTAGTTTGAAGATAAAAGTATATTATTTCTATTTCAGAGATAATACAAAATGTTTAGATAATCTTGTCAAACTCTAGTTTTCAACGGGTAAGTGTACCCATTAACTGATCTGATGGAACTCATGGAAGTACGTACGAGGTTTACTATTTTTCTATGTACATATATTTCCATTGTTGTATGAATCCCCCCTCAAAGAAAACCAAAGAAGAAAGAAAGAAATATTATAACCAAGTGATGTCGTCTTCTTCCTTATCTTCCCATAATAGTTCAGACAAGAAGCTTCCGCTTCGGGAAATCCCAGGTGGTTACACCTTTGCCGGTTCCTCATTCCTAGGAGCCATCAAAGACAGATACGACTACTTCTACACCCACGGCGGCGGCCCGGACAACTTCTTCCTCTCCAAACTCCGAACCCACGGCTCCACCGTCTTCCGCACCAACGTGCCGCCGGGCCCCTTCATCTCCGGCGACTCCAGAGTGATCGCCGTCCTCGACTCCGCCGCCTTCCGAATCCTCTTCGACAACTCGAAAGTCGAGAAGAGGGACGTCTTAGACGGCACCTTCATGCCCTCCGCCGCCTTCTTTGGCGGCTACCGCCCCTGCTCCTTCCTCGACACCTCCGAGCCGTCCCACGCCGCCCTGAAATCGTTCATCTTGTCCACCCTCGCCCGCCTCCACACGCGTTTCCTCCCCTTCTTCACCGCCTCCATGGGAAACCTCTTCAGCACTCTGGATGAAGAGGTCTCCCAGAAGGGGAAAGCAGGGTTCAACCCAGTCAACGACCGGGCGTCCTTCGATTTCGTTTTCAGGCTTTTCTGCGACGGGAAAGACCCGTCGCAGACTCAGCTCGGGGACCGCGGGACGAAGCTGGTCGACCCGTGGACGTTCTTCCAGCTTCATCCCATCCTGTCTTTCGGGCTAAAGTTCGTCCCGAACTTTCTAGAAGACCTATTTCTCCACACATTCCGCCTTCCGTTCTTCGCCGTGAGATCGGACTACGAGAAGCTCTGCGCCGCCTTCTCGGAGTCGGCGAGTTCCATACTGGGCGAGGCCGAGAAGAGCGGGCTGGAGAGAGAGGAGGCTCTCCATAACCTTGTTTTCCTAGCATGCTTCAACTCATACGGGGGCATGAAAGTCTTTTTCCCGTCCCTGATCAAGTGGGTCGGCGACGCGGGGGAGGATTTACACCGCCGCCTCTCGGAGGAAATCAGGGCCGTCGTTAAGGAGGAGGGCGGCGTGACGGTGGCGTCACTGGAGAAGATGAGTTTGACCAAGTCGGTGGTCTACGAGTCGCTGAGGATCGAACCGCCGATCCCGTTCCAGTACGGGAAGGCCCGGGAGGACACCGTGGTCCGGAGCCACGAATCGGCGTTCCTTATTAAAAAGGGGGAAACCATCTTCGGATATCAGCCGTTCGCTACGAAGGACCCGATAGTGTTCGCGGACCCGGACCGGTTCGTCCCGGACCGGTTCGTGGGCGAAGGAGACCGCCTACTACGACACGTGTACTGGTCAAATGAGAGAGAGACCAGCAATCCGACGGCGGAGAACAAACAGTGCCCGGGGAAAGATCTGGTGGTGCTCATGGGCAGGCTTCTTCTGGTGGAGCTCTTTCTACGCTACGACTCATTCCAAGTACAGTGGGAGAAGCTCCCCCTGGGTTCTTCCGTCACCATCACGTCATTTACAAAACGCACTTAATTCATCTCAATTTTAGTGTTATCAAATAAACAAATTTATTTTTTTACTATTTAAAAAAAGGGAAAGAAAGAAATATAAAAGGTAGAATTGTAATTTTAATTTCTTTAAAATGAGATGAATTTATATAGCAATATAAGGCCTAGAATTTCCGCACCAATTTGGATTAAAATAAATTATTGTCTCGAAGTTCTCATCAAGTTTAATTTTCGGTCAAATGAAATTGTTTTTGTATTAATATGTAATGTGTTAATGTGTAATATGTCTCTTGGAAACAATCTATTTAGTTTCAGGTAGGTGTAACTCGTAAGATCTTTCTACACACACCCTCTTACGCTCGTGGGATTAACTATTGTTGTATTAAATATGTAATGTACAGTGTTTTGACAATAATCAAAATTTGTTTCAATCGCAGAAAAAAAAATCTGACACCGATTTTGACTCGTAAGTAGTGCTCTCTCTCCGTATATACTCCCTTCTTCTCGAATTTGATTACACTTTTTTTGGGGACTACATCTCGATAGTTTTTCTTTATTTGTCATTGATTATTTAATAAAATAAAATATTTTTATCACATCTTGTTAAGAACTTTTGACGTAATTTTTTGATTTATAAATTTTAATAATTATTCTTTTACCAATTTTTAAATAAATTGATTTTAAAAAATACATGATTTTGTCTCGTAAAAGAAAATTACTACGTATTATCTAATTTGGGATGAAGAGATTAGATTATATGTTGACTGCTCTTTTTAAAAAAGAGGAAAAAATTAATCAACTATAAATGCATGCATGCATGACTTTGTGTTTAACGCTGGGAATTTGAATGGTTTATTTTTCTTGAGGGAGAAGTAAATGGATATATAGGTATAGTAGGTGAGTGCTTAATTAATTTTCAATGTTCATAAAACGTTTTAGTCGTTAAAAACTAATTACGAGTACAAATTAAATGTATGGTCAACAATTTTAAATTTGGAATATTGAGAATTATTGTTGAGGCTTTGAAATATACTACACGGAGTATATATGAGACATTTGTTTGTGTAAGAAACTAGCTTCAAGTATTCAATAAACTAATTAAGCTGATTAATTTCTTTTTAATTTATGAACATAAACCCTATATTCGGTTCAAGGAAAATACTTTTTTCTTTTCTTTCTCTCTCACCGAAACAAGAGACATTTGCTTTTTCTAATCCTTTCCATAGCTTTTTTGTCGTTTAATTTATAAAGTGTTTTTTTTGCATCCACTTTTCTTATACTTTGTACCAAACACACTTAAAGTCTTAGAGACTAGAGTATTTCTTCGGTTTAACTCTTAAATTTCAAACTTTGAAATACTCCTGTATGATTATCAATTAAATAAAAATTGATAACCACAAATCTTGATGATCAATTAAATAAAAGTTGTACTATGTATTATAGTAAACTAATAATTCCATTATATATTTATATTGTATAAAACCTTCAAAAATTTATTTTATTATACATACTTTGGAGAAATAAGAAGTAGAAGCAGAGAGAAGACCACTGTGGTCCTTCTTCCATGTGAAGTTGTTATCCTTTTATGGTCGAAAATAAAGGGGAAATGATGAAGTACCAAATAGTTGGTTGAGTGATACGGAGTAAATATTTAGTTATGGAGTGGAGGGTGGATTACCGTGGCCACAAAACCTAGCCGCTTTTTTAATTGGTCTACTTATAAGTTATAAAATATTTTTTTTGTAGATGTAAAAATGGATTTAATGATTGATAAGTCATTTAGAAATATTCATAATTGGTGAACAACAATTTTGTAAATAATCTTATCAAAATAGAATTTTGAAAAAAAAAGTACTTAAAAATAAGTAGGAGATGAGAAAATTTTCTTATCTAAGGAGATGAGAAAATTTTCTCACCTAAGGAAATTATTTTGTTCTTTTCACTTTTCTCACCATTTTCTCGTCATCCAAACTTGCTGTACAATTAGGAATCAGACTCATCCGTTTGATCAACAAAAATTTACTAAGGACATTGCCACCGTTGGCAAGACAATGGGTACTCAATAAAGATAATAGCCGAATTCAATTTTTGGCAACCGCGCTAGATGACAACTATGATAAGCATAAGATCTCTATTAGTACTAATCTCAACTCCACTTTCTGACATTAATTTATGATTAAATTCTAATTTACTTCTTCAACAAGGTTCTAATATCATGTCACCGTTTGTTTAATAAAATTTTGAGTAATATATATTTAAATATGAAGTTTTATACTCTTTAGATCAATTGAATATTTTACCAATTCCTAATGGCGACTATTCTGCTCAAAAAACTTGTTAGACATTTTTACCATTTGTATCATACATTACGAAACCTGCAAAATTTTATAATAAACGTCGCAAATTTTATACTATTAATCATTCTTTTGCCACCAAATTAAAGGTCTCAGGAGCAATTAATTATCTCCGCAATTAATAACAGCACAGAAGTTCTCATAGAGACATATGAAGGGCAGTCTTGTAACTTCACAGTTTCTATCATGCCATTGCCTTTGCTTCTTTATAGAGTTTATCAATACAATCCTGCCATTTTTAAATAAATAAAAAAAGATTCTAATAGTTGTAACTACTCCTTCCGTCCCTGAGTATTTGTCCACTTTTACTTTTTTTTCAGTCAAAATTGGTAAATTTTGACCTCAAATTAATTAAAAACAATATTAGATATTGATACAAAAATTGTTTAATTAGATTTATTATATCAAATATTTTCTACATATTATCTTATTTAATTAATAAACAATATATATTTTATTTAATTATAGGTCAAAAGTTAAAAACAGTTGACCGAAAAAAGTCAAAATTGGACAAATAGAAATCACCCTAAATAGGACTAAAACATAGAGAAAAGTACCAAAATAGGACTTTCATGTTTTTTTTTCGAAATAGAACTTTGCACTATACGTGGTAATGTGACTTTGCATTGTGGTAATGTGACAACGTACATGTGCACATTACTATACGTTTTTGGTCATGTATATGACCATGTTTGGTAATGTAAGTCCTATTTCGGGAAAAAAAACATGGAAGTCCTATTTTGGTATATCTTCAATGTTTTAGTCCTACTTTGGTCTTTCTTCCTTGGACAAATACTTAGGGACAGAGGTAGTATTATACATTGAGAAAAGTGCAACGTTTACCTTTGAACTCTTCAAAAATTGCACGATTTACCTCTGAACACTAAAAAGTGCACCAAATACCCCTAAACAATTTAAAATGTTGCACCATTGGTCCTAAAATGCTAGATAGGAGTGCGTTGCTCCCACGGACATAAATTACGAGTATGATTCATCTGTCCCTTGTGAATCTCCAAAGTACCCTTCCCCCAAATTATCGTCTTTATTTAAATGTTCAGGGGTAAATTGTACAACTTTGGAAGAGTTCAAGGGTATTTGGTGCACTTTTTAATGTTCAAGGGTAAACCGTGCAATTTCTGAATAATTCAGGAGTATTTCGTGCACTTTTTAATGTTCAGAGGTAAACCGTGCAATTTTCAAAGAATCTGAGGGTAAACGGTGCACTTTTCTCATTAAACATTTCTGCATTTGAGAAAATACACGGTTCTTTTGGCACTGGGTTTGAGTGACATGATGAGACATCGAGTCCTTATGGGACTTCGTTGCCCTAAAACCAAGTCCTATCCCTTAAGCCCACCCCAACTCAACCTCCCTACCCCTACCACCCACCCTAACATTTCAATGAAAATGTTAAAGGGGGTTGGGGTGGGAGCTGATGGGCCAAAGAATCGGTAGGTTATAGGGCTACTTGCTCTCGGACCCAATGAAGCACCGTACTGACCGTAGTGCCCCAAATGGCTTAGACTCATTACATAACCGGTGCCAAAAGAACCGGCTTTGGCCAATAAGATACAAGGCATTGAACAAATGGAAGACAAAAAAACCAATAGGAATCACCTTGTAATAGTTAAGTAGTTGTGGCCTTTTAAGCTTGAAGGTGGGGGTGACAAGATCCCTCTCAATGTCAAATGGGATCGCCTCCAAGTGAACCGCCCTTAACATTTCAAAGCCGCGTAGCTGACAAATTCGCATACATATATGAGATTGGTCACAAAGATCGGAGCATATAGAACGTGTGACAAGAAAACAAATATATTTCTCATCTTTTTTTTTCTTATAATCTATGGTTTTTTAATACAAATGTCAAAAACCCCAAAGTTTGTGGTTGCACGTACTTGGTGTTGTTTAGCAGTTTTGTTCAGCTCGTCCAAGACGAGCTTTCGTGCCTTGTGATTCTGACACAGTTCTACGAAGTCTCCAGTTTCTTGGTTACTCACAGCCCATTCTTCAAGTGCCTTTCTCTCTGGAATCGCGACTGCCACCAAGAAAGACTCAAAACTGTTGCCGTACACCCAAATCTGTTGCAAAACCCACAGAAAGACATGAACTTGTGGGTTTCTTGGATCTTGTCCATATGAAAAGAAGAAAGAAAAAGATTCAAACTTACTGCAGCCACAAGAGGGCATCTTGAATAAGTGCTTTCCAGGCTCTCCACGGCAACATATTCCCCTTGAGACAGCTTGAATATGTTCTTTTTCCTGTCAATGATTTTCATTGCTCCACTCGGCTGCCATTCCCCGATATCACCTGCAAAATTTCACTCACATTTTAGGATAGAAATGTCCAAGAATAGTCAAAAAGCTCCAAACATGCCAAAAGCACCGTTTCATAGCTTTTTAAAAAATGAAATGAGGTTTTTGAAAGGCTGCTTTCGTGGGATTTTACTAGGTTTGTTGTTTTTTACCTGTATGGAACCATCCATCAACAAGAACATCTTTTGTGAGATCTTCGCGCTTATGGTATCCTGAGAACAATGTCTTTCCGCGGAGACATATTTCTCCACGGGGTATGTTGGCTAGCGCATCGTATCCCATCTCAGGCACTGATTCAAGTCTTGCCTCAATTGTGGTCATTGGGACACCCACTGTCCCTGTCATAGGGTACAGATTGGCTATGGATGTCAAACATCCTCCACAGCTCTCTGTGAGCCCTGAATACCATGTCAAATAACCAGCTCAGCCAAAAACTCAAGGTTGTGACTGAAGGCAGATGAAAAATTTTAGTAAATGGATGCTGACATGGAAGAAAGAACGTATACCATATCCTTGAGACAAGACACAGCAACATGTCACCCTCAAGAACTCTTCCACGTGTTTGGGCAACGGGGCGGCTCCAGATAGCATAAGCCGTACCCGCCCACCAAAAGCTTGTTTGATCTAAAACGAATGACAAATCACTAAGGATCATGAAGTTATCCTCCAATCAAACAAGAGCTAAAAATGAAAACCACTGACCTTGTCAAACACTAGCTTGTCAAAGAAAGGAGCTGCTTCTTCTTGCCTTAGCCCTTTTTCCAGATTCTTCAACTTGCTGTCAAAAAACCTCTATGTTACTGGTTTCTTAAGCTCCGTAACACTAAACGAACAAAAGGACAGAATAGTAAAACATACTAGTTATACGCATAATGAAAGAGAAGGTTCTTCATCATTCCACCAGCCAATATTTTATCCATTGTGGCTGCACAGAAGAAAAAAAGGGCGAATTATAAATGTTACCCATGCAAGTTTCAAAACAAACAGTTCTTTAAAGATTCTGACTTGATCGGAAGTAAAATACGAAGTATATCAAATGCATGCATTGAATCTTTACCTGTGTATATCCTGTCATAAACTCTTGGAACCCCACAAAAAATAGTTGGTTTTAATACAATAAGATCCTCAATTAAGAACCTTATATCCTGCAAGTCAGAAGCAGAATGACTTTCGACTTTAAAGTACTCCAAGAGGAGATTTGGTCGGTTTGGAATCGTGGAAAATGTTAGGAAAAGGAAAGAAAATGTCATGGAAAGGTGGTTCTTTTTAATGTTTTGTTTCATCTTGCTCACAGTTTTCCTCAAACTTTTCATTCCCTATTGTTTTTCAGGTTCCAAACAGACCCTTAGTGGTGTTATGGGCTGTTTGTTTCAGCCTCTTAATGGTTCAGATGTCTGAATGGTTCAGCACTTAATGGTTCAGACTGTTTGTTTCAGCCTCTTAATGGTTCAGATGTCTGAATGGTTAAGAGATTTGCCTCTGAATGGTTAAGTATTATACAGAGTCTGAATGGTTAAGACCTCTTATCTGAATTGATCAGACATTTGCCTCTGAATAGTTAAGCAATATACTAGCACTTAATGGTTCAGACCTCTTACTGGTTCAGCACTTACCCATTCAGAAGTTGCCAAACAGCCCCTTAGTGTAGGAACTAAAAAAATCAATGGATGACAAAAGATAGCATAATGAAAAGAACAAAAAAGTGTGTAACTTACGCCTTGCCAGAATCCTATTGAAGCACCACTGAGTATGCAATATGTCTCAATGACCTGATCAAATATATGAGCCAACGGAAGGAACGAAAAGTAAACATCTTCTGGCGAACCCTGAAGCAAAGAAAACCAATGAGAGCTGAAACACGCCAGAGGGAATGTAAAGTGATCAATTTCATGTTTGGAAACTGAAAAGCTAAAAACTTTTACCGCTTTGTCTGTTAATAAAAGCAGTTGATCCACAGATAAAACTTCAGACATGAACGCCTCGTTACTTAGAATGACACCTTTTGGTTCTCCTGTTGTCCCACTGGTATACATTATGGTGCACACATCTGTCTTCTTTTTTTGTGGTAGTTCGTCGTCCAAATTTCCCTGGAAAGGATTATTAAATCGTAGAAGAATTAGATTGATGGCCAATAAACAAAAAAACTCTATTGGAGAGTGGTTTGACTTACCGTTTGACTGAATTCCTCCCAGGAAAAGCAAGATACACCGAGTTGCTCAACTTCCTTTTTCATCTCACTGGAAATATTTCCAAAGCTGACAATGGCTTTAAAAAAGAAAGATATAAATATGGTAATCCAAAATGTATTTTCTTTTTTTGGTTTTTCAAAAAATGGTAATGATTAACCTACTTTTCAAATGTGAGGTACATCTTGGCAAGCAAGTTAGTATCTGCAAGAGATAGTCACATACATGATCTTAAACACAGGAGGCCCTTATTGAGGAACAGAGTTGACAATTGCAATATTCAAAATATATAAAGTAAAAGAGAAAATTATTACACATTTCTACTAAATAATTTATGCTCATATAAACAACAGCCTAAAATAGCAATAGAGGCAATATGAATCAGATTAGCTATGGATTGATTAAAATCAACTTTGTTTTTATCGTGTATACGGAAGTATAAGAACATACAGCTGATATCTTGCTCTCTTGGATGAAAGCTATTGACAATTCAGCATGGTTAATGATGAACTCCACTGCATTTGCACCTATATTTCAAGCAAGATAAAAAAGAACATTAGCCCATTTAAACTTATCCTTAATGATAATTAGTCTTGTGATCTATCCATAATGAATAGGTAAAACATACCAAGAGTATCATAAAGAGGTACGTAAGTGATTGCTTGGCTATTGCAAGCCTGTGGAAGAATTGAACAAACCGAAGAATATCAAAATAATGCCAGACTATAAATCAATAAGGGGCTGTTTGGAGGATGGAGAGTTTAGTCTATAACTTCATATTTGTTTGAGATTTTAAAAATGAAAAAAGTAACATAATATGTGGTTTTCACATTTACTAACATAATAGGTGGAAACAAGTTTTTGTTAAATATACTTGGAAAACCACTTAAGAATATAACATACCTCCATTGCCATGATCCATTCTGGAGAATTAGAGCCATAAATGCCACACTTATCACCCTAAATAAATGGAAATCATTTGCATAGATAAGTTGTTTGCATATGGGAGCAACTACATTTTGCTAATAGAGCTGTCTTACAGGATTGACACCGCACTTTTGAATAGCAGATCCGATTCTTTTGGTGGCATTGTAGGATTCTTCATATGTCATCCACACATAGGAACCTGCCTGTAATGTGAACTTGGACTTGTCACTCATCAAACAAGCCACTATAAGGTGTATGGAAGTGCCATTTTCACTCTTTTTCTACTCTTCAAAAGTTCTAATGGAACAGTCACAAATCTTTGGCTTTTAAAATCTCAAGCATTTCATTCGTGACAATAAACAAAATGGATCTTTTCTTGTTTGTTACTGCATATGAAAGACATAATCTTCTGAAAAATTACCTTCTTATCAATGATCTGGCGGCGACCAAGCATGTTGTTTTTTGGGTTTTTCTTGACAGAGTCGCTGCAAGAACAAGATCAATTGAAGGATAGAGAGAAAACACAATCTATTATGCTTATATCACATCAAAACTGGCAACAAATGACAACTACAATGCTAGGTGAAGAAATGTGGCTGTGTAATTACACTAGTAAAGGAAACAACAATAAGATTGCATTCAACTCTTCCATTTCATCTCTCTTTCTTTCATCAAAGATTGAAACTTTCCTCCAAATAGAGTTAGCCCATAGCTCAAAACCAGCAATTTACTGAAAGGATTCATCTCATTGGCAAAGAACCCTTGAAAGTTACAGTTTATCCTTCAAAGAATCCATGAAAATTACCTGAAGAAGTCCCATGGAGACTCCAGCCTAGCAGGCAAGTCCATGAGAGCATCTTTAGCATAAATGCATCTATACACAGGTCCTGCAGAGGGCTTTCCATCAGCAGCAGGCCTGGCATCTTCAACTTTCACCACATAATCTGTCATTTTATCCTCGAAATCAGAAAACCAGAAACTGGGTTCTACCAAAAATCAAAGAAGAACCACCCACAAAACAAAAAGAAATGATTTTTTTTTAATGAATTTGAATGCTCGCAGAAAAAGAGTGTAGGGTTAGTTGAGAAGATGCACCACTGCAATAAATTCCAGGATTACATTTTAGTTGAAGACATCTCATCAATGGCGGCCATTAATGACTTTCAGTAAGTGTTGGTCTTCTTGCACATGAAACACTCGCCATATCATTTAAGATGGGTGGTTGAAACTTTGATATAATGCTAGATTATGCTCAAATGCCCCTGGTTTTCACATACACGGCCAATCTGACAAAGATCACCATAACTATTGTGATGTATGCTGACAACGAACCACCGACTAGCGTTTACTATTGTTGGGATTCCTCCAAAGTCTCACATGGGATGATAGGATTAAATGAATCAAAATATATAAATATATAGAGTCATCCAACCCATTAGTATAAGATTTTTTGGGAAATGCCCAAAAACTAATTCGGGGTGAGGGCACGCGCAGTTCAAACAATTATTTGATGAAAAATTTGACAAAAACGAACAAACTTTGGCAAGATTCAACCTCTAATTTTTGTTCACAAAATTGAAAATTGAATTTACATCAAAATAATTTTGAAGTACTCTTGCTTTGACTTGACACGAGAATTAAAAAAAGTTTAAAAAATCAAAATTTTTCATGTTTATTCTTGATGTAGTGTAATAAAATGAATAGCATAGATAAAAATATGGGTATAATAGGTTGCGCTAATGTCATTTTCATTAAAAAAATTTGTCAAAATAAGAAAGGGAAAGAATTTTGTAGATTGCCCAAAAGAGAAAGTGAAAATAAATTAATGGATAGAGAGAGTACATTTATTTGTGAGTCCTAAAGAAAAGAGTGTTGTCAAAATTAAAAGCAATTGTGCTACTTACACCCCAAAAGTGTACATCATTTTGCACATGAGTGTTGTGCAATACCAATGTTTTGCACTAGCAAAACATAGGTATACACTAGCATAAAATATCAGTGCAAACACTATTAATTACACTGTTATTCAATTAAAAAATAAATATTTCAAAAAATATAGATAAATAAGATTTGAGTTTTGACTTTTGGAACTGTTCATCCAGTTTTGACTTTTGGAACTATTCATCTAAGCACTTTGGCTCATCAAATTCTCTCAATGTGTAAGCCTAAATATAGTCATGTATGATCTTGTTTGATTTGTCTTAACATATAGATTATTAATATATAATTTCTATAATTTTTTAATATACAAATTACAAGATAAAATGGATTAAAGAAGTGTATTGGATGGTGTGTAAAAATGAAAGTGGACAAATACTCTGGAACGGATATAGTATATCAGATCACCTGATACAACACAATGCTTGTATTAGAATTTAGAATCATATTAATGGGAAAATAAACACCAAATAGCAATATAAATATACTCCCTCCCACTTTCTTTGTCCACTTACCTTTTGGCACACTATCCAATGCACTTCTTTAATCAATTTTATCTTGTAATTTGTATATTAAAAAATTATAGAAATTATATATTAATAATCTATATGTTAAGACAAATCAAACAAGATCACACATGACTATATTTAGGCTTACACATTGAGAGAATTTGATGAGTCAAAGTGCTTAGATGAACAGTTTCAAAAGTCAAAAATGGACAAAGACAGTGAGACGGAGGTAGTATAAAACTATTTTCTTTTTACACATCTTTGTGATATTCTCACACAAAATTGTGTAAAAATCAAACCCATCCAAACCTTGTTGGAGGAAGGAGAGGGCCTATAATTAAAATGGCAATGCCCAACCCTATGGGTACGGGTAAAGTGTCATAATTCAATTACTTGTAACGTAAACTTGAAATGGGGAGACAACATAAAAAGCAAAATTGCTATAATTGTTGCCTTACACTAAAGAAGTAACAACAAGAAGACCACTAAAATTATTAGCAACACCACCTAATCATAATTATATTTCTATGTTTCCCTAGCTATGAAAGCAAATTTAGGTCACTATTATGAACTACATTAATTCTTTGTTTTGATTTGATAGTATTAGAGAACCAACTTGAGAAATATTTTAAATTATAATATACGGAGTACTAGGTATCTGTTATGTGTATGTAATTTTTTGTACGCAGTCGGAGCATTGTACAACAATATCTTTTATGTGTATGTAATTTAATTAATAATTAAATTAAGAACTATTTAGAGGATTTAATAATTAAACACTATATTAGAAAAATAACTACTCCCTATCATTTAGTACTGTATAAAGAAAATTCTCTATTCATAATAGAATAACAGTTTTAAAAGCATTAATTGATAACAAGATTTTATTTCTTATTATCAGTATTATTCCTAATATGCTTCAACTTGCCCTATCAAACATCCACTCCAGATTATAATGTCTACAGTATTCAATGTCCTAATTCCATCTATGAAAAAAAAGATAAAGAACAACATACGTGCAAAATATATGTTGAATGTCGACCAAAAGTTCACTACTCAAAATGGTGTGTGTGAAAATTAGTGTACAACAAAAGGATTGTCCACTCCATAGATATAAACGTATATATATAACTCTCTATTCCGTTTTGTGTGTCAAACATTTAACCAACTATATATAAATATAATGAATTAAAATATAAAAATTATATCAATTTATTGATATCGAAAAATACTTTAAATGTATTATTTTTAATATTTTTACTAATATATTTTAAGAGATATTATTAGTTAAACTTTAAATTCAAAAAGTGAATCAGACCATTAAATAGGAATGGAGTGGGTAGCTATGTGGAAGGCATGATTTGTTGGTTCCAAGTTTAGTGGGGGAAGTGATGATTAGTGTGTATGTGTATGATCAAAGCTGCATATATATATATATATATATATATATATATATATATATATATATATATATATATATATATATATATATATATGCCTCTTTTGGGCGTTTTTTGTTGTTGGATCTATGTGCTTTGTTTCTTCTTTTTGCTTTTTATATTGGAGCTACACTTTTATATATGGTGGGTTATATTGAGTTGGGGTTTTCAATTTTGTTTTACTTTTTTGGAATATATATATGGTACAATAGATATATAAACACCATTTCATCTTTTCTCGTTCCTTTTAAAATAAAATTTACATGTTTTTTGGGTTTTCTGAAGTAATAAGATGAATGATTTTTAATTCTCTCTCTCTTCTAATATATTTTAATGAATGGTACATTCTTTCACTTTTTAATAATGTTTTTAATTTTTTTTGAAATTTCATTAAGTCAAAGCGTAAATTTTTTTCCAAGTGAATAGATGTGTGATTTTTAACGTATTTCTCTTTTTAAAATGAACTTCAATTGTATATTTTGTCACTTTTTAACTTCTTTTTTTTTCTTGAAATTTTATGAAGTCAAAGGGTAAATTTATTTGGAGGGAAGAAGGAATATAAGTAGACAATTGTTAGTGAGGATTTATAAAAGCCACCATATGTAATAATCTATATTCTTTTCGATCCCTTTATGTTTTGAGTGGGCGAAAAAGAAATTTTAAAAGAGTAATTTACCTAAATATGACTAAAACATAATGACTTTTCCAATATAGTACCATATGTTTTTATTTCTCAATGTAGGACTTTTAGTCATTATCAAGTAGTCATTATTCAAGTAAATGTCTATCATTACTGGACATTATTGCTCCCACAAGGTCATTATTAAGTCCTATTTAGGAAATAAAAAAGTTTAAATCCTATATTAGGAAAGTCATTATATTTTAGTCCTATTTAGTGCAAATTTCACATTTTAAAAACCTTTGAATGATTTTAACAGTTCTCATCTAAACCTTAAAAACCGTGAATTTTGGTAGTGGTTTGAACACTTTAGGGTACGTAGAGTATGATTTCATCTCCTCAATCATCACTCATCAAATTATGTTTTGGTAAAATATACTCCGTCCCTAAATGAATTAGTCAAATTAGACATTACGGAAAAAAAAAAAAGTAAAATTCTAAATTTTTTAAATTATTTTTACTCAAAAATATTACAAAACAAATAGTAACAAAAATATTTAATTTTATCAAATAATGAATGAAAACGAACAAATAAACAAAAGGAGGGACGAACAAGATGGGAGTCACGGCAACATCGGCCATCCCGGAGAGGGACGTGTTCATGTCGATCTCACCGACGACATGTGCTTCAGACCATCTCTAATTGTTCACATTAAAGTCAAATCTAAATGCAATATAAATTCAAAATGTCTCCAACTCATTACTTCAAATTGAAACTAAAATCACAATATATTTATTTTATCACCTTTTGTATACGGAGTAGTCTATAAATTTAAAAAGCATTCAACTATATATAGAAAAAAGATAAATTCATAAGCAGTCAGTTCTGGTTCCAATACCGATTCCAAACCGGAACTGTGTCCAACTCTAAGCAGATTGCTTTATGGCGGCCCCTTTATCTAAACAAAGTGACCTCAAGCTGGTGTCAAGTGCTAAGTAGAGCACCAAATACCTCATTTTAAGAACAATTGGCTTTGAAGCAGTTCCAATTGTATCTTAACTAGTCTTTTGTTTGGGAGAGATAGAATACGAAGGGAAAGAAAATAAAAGTGTGAGTGCATATAATATGTTTGCGAAGTGGAAGAAAAATATTGGAAAAAAATATATTCCGTTACCATTTAATTTTCCTTCATTACTTTTCTTCCTAAAATTGGAAGAAAGTTTAAATAGTTAAATAATTCTACATTCACTCTATTGACTAGAAAGTAAAATAAATTTATTTTCCTTTCTCTCTAAAATATCCAAAGAAGAGGATGGAAAATAATTTTATTTTCTCTTTTCAAACTTTATACTTTTATTTTCTTTCCTTCTTAAAAAATGGGTAAAACAATTCTCAGCTAAGAAATTTCCACTAATAATGTGCACCAGATTTAGAGAATTCAAAAGTTGATGAAGTTGTTAAAAGATGATTATGATACAATGATCTCTGAATTAGTTCATGAGAATGTTTACTAATTGCCTTCCACAAACCCAACTTAGGCCCCGTTTGGCATCAGCGTTAGAGATTAGCGTTAGCGTTTTGAAAATGCTATTTGACGGTAGCCTTTAGCGTTAGCGTTTTCAAAGTTAATCTATACCATTAAAATTTTATGCAAAACGCTGACGCTAATTGAAAACGTTATTTCCAAAGAAGGCCTTACCCAAGTTAATGAAGAAAGACAGAGGCTTTAAATTTTCTTTAAACGCCATTCAGAGTGGTCAATTCCCCATTAAATGCCGCAACTGCATTTCCCTTTTCTTTACGCCATTTTCTCCGGCCTCCCCATTTAATGAGCGCCCAGAATGCCCCCAATTCCACGTCTGCCCCGACCCAAACTCATTAATGTCGCCCGCCCGTATCTGTCCCACCCGACCCGAATCTCATCGGGTCGTCCGTTCAGCTACTGTGCCATCCGTCCAACGATGATCGCCGCATTTAATTCTCCTGTCCCCCCTCCCGCCATCACCGCCGGTTGAATCTCTCCGGCGACAGCAGCGCCTCCGGATCGCCGCTCCTTAGCCGGCTCGACGAGAAGAATCCGCCGGGACCGGCCGCGGACGATCTCATGAACATCGGGCTGGCGAACGACTTGGTCCGCCTCGATGAGCTGCACCCGCCGCCGGATGACCCGGGGAATAAGCTGAGGCTTCTGCGCCGGAAGAAGGGGGACTTCATCGTCCCCCTGTATTGCCGGAAGGAGAACACTCTCGGCTTCGTCAGCGAGCCGAACGGCGACGGACGTTTGCTCCAGAATCCTCCCCTGCGGTAGCGCCAGGGAGACGCGGTGGTGGCTTCCAGAATCAGCCTCTCGGATCCCATGCTCCTCTCGTAACCGAAAGAGTAGGACCGTTTCAGCAGGAAATCCGGGCCGTTGAAACGGCCTTCTGACGGGTTGCTATTCCTTCTCGGCGACGGCGCTTCCTGCGTGATCTCCCCTGTCGGTGCCACGTCGGATTCCAGCGGAATTTCCGCCAACGGCTCCAACATCCCGCTTTCGAACATCAGGTCGTCCAGGCTCGGCCGTATCCTCGCCGCCATCAATGGCGTGAACGGCGACTCCGGCCTGAAGATCCCCGCGCGGCACAGCGGGCAATTCGCGTGCGACCGGAGCCATATGTCGATGCACTCCACGTGGAACGCGTGCGAGCACGCCGGAAGCGTCCGCAGGTAGTCGTCGTCCTCGAATTCCAGCAAACAAACAGCGCAGTCGTGTGCGGAGCTCTTCCGGCTGTAGACGGAGAGCGGAATTGTCTTGATCGCGGACTCCTCCAGTCCGTACGGAGAGAAAACGTATAAACCGTCGGCGGTATCGAACGAGTAGGGAGGGGACTCAATATCGCCGGCGGAATACGACGGCACGTACCGCCTCCTCCAGCGGCGCCACCGTCGGTAGCGGCGGTGGATGTGGATGAGGTGGCGCGAAATCACCCTCGAGTAAGTGATTACTACAAAAGCCGCCGCGATGACGACCAGCATCGCGATCAATGGCGGACTGAAATATACGTGCAACTTGGACTGCGGCTGCATCGTCTTCGGCGAAGAGAAGGATATATGATGAGCCGCAGCGGCGGAATGCGGCGGCGCTCGTCGAGAAAAGTTCCGGTGGTGCGGCGCCGGGAAGTGAGCGGTGCGGTTGATCATGGTAGAGCGTTGGAAGGTGTTCAACTAACGAGAAAGGAGAAGAAATGGTGCGTGCGGTTCTGTGCTGAGTTGACTCGCGAGTCAGGAGTGAAGGGAAGAAGAGTTGAGTACTGCTCTCCATCGCGTCCAATGTTATTACCATTTTGTCTGCAGAGTTTGTGAGTGGACACGTCAGCGTTTTTATAATCTCTCTTATTATTGGTTCAATTTGAATTTTTTAGAGATAAAAATAAAAGAACTTTAATACGGACTAATAAATTACATTAAATTTGCACTGCATAAAAGTTTAGCTAAAATAAAATTTGAAACTTTCACCAAGATAAATTAAACAAAATCAATTTATCTTAAGATATGTGACAAGTCTAGAAAATTGAAATTAAACGTCACCTAATTGATTTAGGAAAATACATATTGGCCTAGTTTTGTAAAAGCATTTTTGGTTAGCATTAGCGATTTAAATTAAACTTTAATCGTGTTGATTAATCTGAAAAATGCTAACGTTAAAGATTTTTATGATGTCAATGTTAATTTCTAAGGCTGATGTCAAAAGACCATTGTGTACTATGGATGACATGCGTTACATTTGGGGAGCCAATAGCTTGACATGGTTTGTTGGAGCTAACATGATTTATTTTGTACCAATTTTACCTCAAAAAGTATTTAAAAATACCACTTTATTCACTCAAGGAAATGTACCACTTTCAAATTGGTTAACGTTTTAACTTTTTTACCCTATTATACTCACATTTTAACTTTTTATCACAATTTCTACATTAACAATCTATAAGATCATTGGCACCCACAAAAATTGTGGAATAAAATCCATTAGGGTCCGTTTGGTATGCGGAATTCAAATCACGAAATTGGAATTGGAGACTTTAATTCCAATTCTGATGTTTGGTATCAAAAAAATTTATAGTATTGGAATTCAATTCTAATTCCAAATTTTTCAATTCTGCATTTTAAATTCCATACCAGGATAAAAGAATTGGAGTGAATTCCACGGGTAAAAAAAACACGCGGATCTTTCTCGGATCGAGTCTTAATTTTAGATCTAATTTTACGCAGATCTAAGCTCCCATTCCTGCGCTCTTTCTAGCTATCTCTCTCGGCTCTCTCATCTCTCTCATCTTAAATCTCCATGGGTGACCCTCGCAGACATCTCGCAATTCTCCATGGGTGAGGGTGGCGACATCTGGTAATTCTCTCTCTCTTTCTATCTTTAAATTTAATTTTTTTTTTAGATTTGTTTTTCAATTTGTCAAATCTTTATCAAATCGGTTGTAGTTGTTAGCTAGGATTTTAATGTCATTTTTTGAGTTATCAAATAAAGTGGTTGGGACCATAAAACAATTTCATATCAATTCTTTAACTACACCAAACAAAGGATTGGGAATTACAATACAATTCTATATCAATTCTTTAATTACACCAAACAAAGGATTTGGAATTGAATTAGAATTCAATTCCATAGAAATTCAATTCCAATTCAATTCCAATTCTGCATACCAAACGTACCCTTAGTTTTTTTTGAAATAAAATCAATTAGTTAATCATTCCTTTCACACAAAATGAAAACACATGGTAAAGTTTATTACCGTTTATTCCCTTCACATAAAATCCATTAGTTCTTAATTTTATAATTTTATTTAGTCAATTTGATTTAATTGTAATCTCCTGAAACGTAAAAGTTTACTAGGTATTTAGACCATTTGCAACATCTTAGCTTAATACTTATTGTCTTACTGGAGTACTTTGTTTTAATTCTGTATTGCATAATCAAGGTTTTGGATCATTTTCTAACATTGCAAATTAACATATACGAGTAATATATTAACATTAAGGATTCATTTGATACACGAAATTCATACTATGAAATTAGAATTGAAGACAACATTTTCAGTTCTGTTGTGTGGTAGTTTACAAATATGTGGATTTGGAATAGATAGTTCAAAAAATGAATTGGAATTAGAGAATTTAATTCCTTCTAAATCTACTCCATAGAATTTAAAATTACAATTCAATTTCATTTCCATCAATTCCGTATACTAAACGGACCCTAAAAGTGTAACCAAAGAAATGCACAGATATTTTAATTATTTACACTGGCATGAAATGTTAGTTAAATTAAAAAAATTGCACTGATATTTTTTTGTCAATAAAAATCACCATACTAGCATAAAATACACAAAATATATCTTTATGGTACAAATTTTAGTGTACACGTAGTTTAATCCATACAAATGTGAAGCATAAACTGCATCAAATTTGAAACCCCGTCGTAGGAAACAAAACATAAAACGTGAACTAAATTCAATATTTAATGTTAAAAAACGAATCTGGGAAACGTACGAGAAATTAACTTTTTAGCCAAATTGAATCATGGGCTGTTTTCTTTGGGATGTAGGATTGGAATGATGGAGTTTTGGGTCAAATTTTTAAGGGTCGTGGCCTTGAGTGGAAGGTGCATTTGGGCTTGGCCCATTATTATAAACTTTGGAAGGTGCATTCATGGTAGCCATTAGAATACGTTCCATTCAAATTTTTTCACTTATTATTTATTTTTATTAGAATTAAATTAGATCAATTCAGGACAGAAAAATAAAAAATGGAAAGACTAAATCCAGACGGACGAAATATGACTTGCTCAATATATTAATCTCTCTATCCTCAAATGAATCAAACTCTGAGCAAAAAGAATTTTTCAATTTAAAATTGATATATGAATAAAAAATAAAGTTTGCAAATTTAAAAAACATATCAAAAAATATATAAAACACGAGGTGATCAATAAGAATACTTTATTTATAAAATAATCAATGAAATCATATAAATAAATTAAATAGATTTTTATATAATTTTTGAATAGTGAAAAATGCATAAAGAGGAGTAAATGAATATGAATAAGATACATGTCTATGTTCGTTATCTTTGGAGATAATCTAAAAAAACGATTAATCAAGTTGTGCGTAAATTGTAGTAGAGGACTATAGGCTAGTGGACAAGGGAGCCTCCAAATTGTGCCTCCGTGGTCCGTGCCAATAAAGTTTTCACCCTATGTTTTTGTATTTTGTTTGTACTTTGTACCTTTTCTTAAATTATTTTTTTTATTTTGACCGAATATAGACTTTGATAGACTTCAAAAAAAATTTAATTTTTATAAAAGTAAAAACTTATTAGATACAGTATAGGTTGATACTCGGTATATATATTCATGCTAGTACTTTTACCCGTGCGACGCACTGAGTCGAACAAATTTTTTGTCAATTTTAAACATTGTCAATGCAATATTTTTCTTTACTATCGAAAAAGTTGGAAGAGTAGAATAAATAATGTTTCATATTTGAGTAATTGAATATGTACTCAACAAAACTTGTCTTAGTACCAAATTTTCTAAAAGGCTTTAGGATATACACCATTTTTGGCATGATTGCAATGATTTCTATTGTCATCTAGAACCAATATTTTTAATCGTGCCTTTGTCTTCATTCGTAAAACAACAATATTAAGCTGACCGGCTATGAGCCAACACCGACTTGGTTAAAAATAATTCAACAAATGACAATGCTTGACCTTAACTTTTGTTGGTAGTCATTGTAAACTTTTTCCCCGAGTTGATTTCTCGATAACATTCTTCGACAATTCTTTTTGTCAATGTTACTCAGTAGCATAATTGGTACCCCTTTTTAAAAATTATTTCGTGGTTTGGGATCTCCGAAAATTTGATCTTAGTAAAAAATTCAACTATTATCCAATCGCCATCAACAACTACATCTAAACCTATCTAGCATGAAGAATCAAAACTCAAGCACGCCATTTCATTTTTGGGTGTGAGGGATAGGACAAATTAATTTACTATTTCTACAACCTCGAGTGTGGTGCCAATAGTGCCCTATCTTAAAAAAAGAATCACTTTACATTATTCTAAAAAAGGTTTGGATAATTAAAATCCACTATATACTTGAGGAAATAACGTGTGTCTAAAATAAAGAATGATGAATTTACATAAATAGTACTAAAACATAATGACTTTCCTTAAATAGCACTACATGTGTTTTTTTTCTAATGTAGCACTTTTAGTCATTATTCATTAGTCATTATTCAAGTAAATGTTTGTCATCACTGGTCATTATGGACATTATTAAGTGTTATTTAAGGAATAAAACAATTTAAGTGCTATTTAAAGAAATGACTTAAGTTTTAGTGCTATTTAATGAAAATATTTCATAAAGAATTTAGGTGGTATTTTTAACTTATTAGAGCCTTGTTAATGATTAAGAAAAAAATAAAATTCATCACACATCCCAAAATAAGTCTCACGGGAGCAATTTACTTGCGAGTGGGTCTTAAATGGTAAAACACAAAAAAATTGTCCCCACTCAATTCTGACTTTTGACCTCTAATTTAGAAGAAGAAATACAACGGTGTGTTTGGGAACTCGAATTCGGATATCAATTCTTGATTTGGCTCAAAAACCGTGGATAGGAAATCTTAAAAACTTAGATTTGAATTTGAGATAAATTTCTCGAATTCATTACAAAACTAAATTACAAATTCATATGTCTCTCCTTGTCATTTGAAATTCAAGAATTCAAATTTTTGAATTGAGATGCAATAAATGAAATATTAGTTCTCAACCACTAATTTGAAACGTAACGAAGAAAGAACAAATAATTTGAATTGGGAGAGGCGAATGCATATCCATAATTGGTAATGTAACACAAATGGAGTAGAAACAAATTCAATATAACACCGACTCTTATCCTTTTTGTAGGCTACATGGAAAATGTTTGCGGGAGCTATTGCCCGACCCATTGCCTTCCTACATAAAGTTTGTTGAGTAGCCATGTTTTGTGTACTCCTTCCCCTGTTTTTATAAAAATGAAAAGTTCATATTCAAAAAAACTACGTCTACATGTAAATGAGTGTGCTGGGATATAAAAAGTATTTTTTAGACCACAATCATAAGTTTGAGTTTTTAGTCGAGCTGATTCTCTGACATTGAAATCCAACTTAACATAAAAAGTATTTCTTGAACCACAATGATAAGCTTAAGCTTCTGATTGAGTTTGTTCCCTAACATTGAGATCCAACATTACAAATTTTGCCAAAGAAAATTTTGGAAAAAAATTTTCTTACATTTATATGGAAACAATATTTTTTTTGCATATCAAAATCAAAATTTACAAAATTTAACTAAGAAAGTCAAATAAAAAAATAAATAGATACAGGGAGTAATTGCTTATTTTATTACTCGATACCTTATCAATTAGCATCAATAATAATTGTAGAAATGTCAAGCTTAATATATATTCCTTTTATAATTTTAACGTTAAAAAAATGGAGTAGATAAGTGATAGCTCATATATAGACAGACACCTGCCCATTCAGTACGGCGTCTATATATACATAGCCGTAGTGTATGTATGTACGTACGGAATATAATCTTATGATGGGCATCTGCACTTCTTCGCACGTGGTGGGATGGCCTAGTGGCGGAAGACCATTCGTGCCGAAGCCTTCCACGGCGGCGGCGGCGGTGGTGGTCAACGAGAACGGGGAGGTGCAGGAGCGCCGGCGGCCGGCGAAAGCGGCCGACGTTCTGTCGGAGAATCCGGACTGCTTCCTCTCCAACTCGGATTCGATGGGCGTCGACTCCGAGATACCTCAGGTGCGGGGAGACGAGGACCTCGAGGTCGGGCAGCTCTACTTCCTCCTGCCCGTCTCCAGGGCCCGCTCCCCGCTCTCTCTCCAGGACATGTGCAGGCTCGCCCCCAGTGCCAGCGCCGCCCTCAACGGCTACTTCTCTCCGGCCGCCGGAGCTGTTTCCCGCCGCCGGGGGGTTTGGAGGAGCAGAGCTTCTAGGCCTTTGGTGGCCTTGTTTGACTGGGCTTTGACTGTGCGTTGTGACAAAATTCTGTTAGTACTGCGTACGGGAAGGGATCAAATTGCGTAATACCCGAATAATTATATGGTTCAATTTCTGTTTTAATATGAAGTGCGCGCCTTTTATTTATTCCCTTGTTTTATGGGAACAAAAATATGGCAGGGTTGTAATTATAATAAAAGTATTGTTTTTTTCTTGTGTATCACATACATGTATACATCACACGTATATTTTTAGTCTTATCTCTAACAAATACTCCGTATTTCACATTTTTACCTATAAGAGTGATTTACGAGGTGTATAACATAGTAAAGTTTGCACTGAATAGGACTAAAATATAAGTCATTTTCTAATGTAGGACTTAAACTTTTTTATTTCTTAAATACGTAGTAAGACTTAATAATGACTAGTGAGAAGAATAATGTCCAAGTATTGCTAGACATTTAATTGAATATGACTAATAGATAATGACCAATGGTCCTACATTGGTAAATGAAAACATATGATCCTATATTGAGAAAATTATTATGTTTTAATCATATTTAGGTAAATTACTCTATAACAAATCATGTGTTAACTTCTTTCTTTTTTTCTAATTAGTTCTAGTTTTTTCAAATTTTTTCACTTCCTTTCAACTCTTTTTAGTTTCTTCCTGTAAAAATTTTAAAAATATATTTAAATATATACTCAAATTTAAAATATATCACATCAACCACAAGCAAATGTGATTTTTTAAAAATCCAAAATTAGAGTTTTTTACATATGTATTTATGTGATCTTTTAATTGAATAACTTTTACTCCCTCCATCTTATATCTTTCTTACGAAGAAAAATCCCAAATTTTTTCAATCTATTTTATTTAAATATTGGTATAGAAATAAAAAATAAAACATACATATTTAAAAACTACATCAAAAATTCAACAAAATAAGTGGTGACAAGAATATTTCATTTTATCATATAGGCCATGAAAAAACACATATAAATATAAATTCCCGTGAAGTTGGAATAGTGCTCTGGGAAGAAAGCTTTAGGACGGAGGGAGTAATACTTAAATTCTTCTAACTTTTTTTAACTTCTTCCCGTTTCTTCAAACTCATATCAATTTTTTCTAGGACAATTTTTCTAAATATAACTAAAACATAATAATTTTCTTAATATAGGACCATATGTTTTTATTTCTAAATGTATGATCATTGGTCATTATTCATTAGTTATTATTCAAATAAATGTCCATCATCACTGGACATTATTTATCTTACTAGACATTATTAAGTATTATTAGGAAATAAAAAGTTTAAGTCCTACATTGGGTATGATTTGTGCTTTAGTTCTATTTAGTGTACATTTACGTACTTAAATGCCTATTGGTGTAGATTGATTTAATCCATCTGTGGTATGTGACATTACAAAATGTAATATTTAATGATAAATATAAATAATATGATGAACGTGCATATGATATTTATGTGGAAACCTAAATTAAAAAAAACCACGAGTTGGATATCATGCCAAGTGGGCAATTTATTATAGATTGGAGAGTATTTAATTTGTACAATACTCCGTATATGACTCAATTGAAACGGCTAAGTTCAATGGCCACTTGTTTTGAGTGACCACAAAGTCACTGTCACTCTACGGAGTTTTGTTCGTAAAATTGTTAGTTCGATGGCCACTCGTTTAATTGACTTTGCAGTCAATTTTATTTTAAAGTCAACTAATTTTACAGGATGCATTTTACAAGGATGGGGTGATTGGTTGGGGTCGGGACCGAACAGGGAGGTTTACCAGGGGTTAAGAAATATGAATCATCAATTTTACAAACAGAGTAGCGGCTTAAGTGACTGAATCGGAACACTGCTTCCGTGACATGTAGATCTCATTTGACAATTCATTCTTTGGTAATTGTGTCATATTTACACGAGAAGAAGAAAGACTAGAGTTCGGATTTTTTTTCAATTAGCTTCTCTCTTGGACTAATCTAATGTCCACTGGTCAGATCTATTTGTCTTCCATTGGATCTTTGGCTAAGAGCACTGGTAATACGTTTGAAGCCCCGGGGCTTCAAACTTTCTCTCTCTACCACGTCAGCTTTAACTTACACCCAAAATTCACTGGAAATGGGTTTGAAGCCCCGGAGCTTCAAACTGGGGCTTCAAACCTTCATTTTTTACATTTTTAAATATACATCTTCTAAAATTAAATTAATAAAATGTAATTAATTTATTATCTAATTAAATTGAAACACGAATAATAAAAAAACACATTAATTAAATAAAAAAAAGCGACAATATTTTAAAAAAAAGATACATTAATAAAAAAAACTAAGGTAAATTATATTTCTCCTTGATCTCTCTCATTCTTTGCTCGTAGATAATTCGTCCAAACTCCGACAACGTCCCGGGGTTGGTTTGCATGACTTTCATCTCGGCCTCCTGCTCCTTTAGCTTCAACTCCTTCTCTTTAAGCTTCAACCTCTCTTGTTCTTGGAGATTGAACGCCCGAAGTTGTTCAACCATTGCCCGGCCGATTTCGTCGCGGGGAGAAGCGGAAATAGAGGCGGACCCTCCCGGGACCGGGAGCATTCCTCGTATACTCCCATAAACTTTCGTACTTTTTTGTTGATGTGGCTCCATTTGGAAGTGAGTTGGTCACGGGTTCGGTAGGAGCCGTCCTTCTTCATCGCCGTGAAGAACTTCTCCTCGATACGATCCCACATCGCATCCTTCGTTTGCTCCGTACCTTTAAAAAAGTATTACACAATTTTTTTTGACACCATTAAATATAATACTCCCTTCGTTTGCAAAAAGGTTCCTACTTTGACTTGGAGCCAAAATAAAGAAGTGTAAAATTATAGTTGACTTCCAATTTTGCCCCTGATGTAATGGATAAAAGTAAGATGTGATGGATTGGTTATTAGAGAAAAAGTATGATGTGATAGGTAGGGTATGAAAAAGTAAGGGTAAAAGTGGTTTTTTAATAGAAAGTGGAAGTGTTTTGTTGGAATTGAAAAAAATGAAAGAGGAATTGTTTTTGAGAACGGAGGGAGTATATATAAATAAAAATATAAATATATTAGAAAAAACAAATTTTTTACCAATGATAGGATGCTCGGAGACGTCAACCCAAGCCGACGCCAATATGCACTCCTCCTCCGGCGTCCACTTTTGGATTGACCGTGCCGCATTGGTCAACGTGCTTTTGGCTTTGTGGCTCCTCCGGCGTGTACTTTTTTTCGATCCGGACGGTTCCGGTTGAGTCTCCGGAACCGAATCTCGGTCGACGTACCCCGATTGTTGCGTCTCGTATATCGGCTGTCGATCGCCCCACTCTTGGTAGAACCACATCGCGGCGTCACTCGGGGGGAGATTGTCGGGAACGAAGCCGGAGCCGGAAGGATTCATGTTGAAAATTGGGAGGAGGGATTTGAATTTTGAAATTTAAAAATAAGAAAGAAGAAGAGATTGGAGAGAAGGTGTGAGAGATTGGTTGGGGAGGATTGAATTTATAGGAATTTTTTTTTTAAATTGGGGTGCAACGGCTTTTTTAGCCGTTAGGAGGTAGCAGCGCCGATTCACGCCGCGTCAAAGGAATGACGCAGCCGCCCTCACGCCCGTTTCACGCCGGCGGGGGCGGTGTTTCACGCCCCCGGGGCGTTAAACGCCCCGTAACGCCGGTGGGCGTGAGGGGTATTACCAGTGCTCTAATAAGTCTCTCTCCTTTTGAATTGAAGTTTTAGATTAGAATCTTGGAAGAAATTAATAGTTGAAAAATGTTGAAAGAATTATAGTGTTAGAAAATCATTATATTAAATGATCATCCAAATAAATATATAAGAAAACTTTAGTTTTGAACAAAAAAGAATTCATCTTTTTTTTGTGTTTGAAGTCGTATGTTATTCTGTGTAAATTTTGATTTATAATTTCATTCTATATTCATCATTTATAAATATTTTTTTTTAAATCGTTGTTGGAAAAATGGAAAAAGATAGAAAAAATAAGAAGAATTAAAAAAAAATTTATACTAGTTTTTCTAAACTAAAAGAATAGGAACTAATTCTACTTCCTCCGTCCCTAAATATTCACAACATTTGCTTTTTCAACAGTGTCGGCAACTTTTGTTTATTTCGATGTTTTCATTGATTATTTGATAAAATAAAATATTCTTGACACCTCTTATTTCGAAGAGTTTTTCATGTAGTTTTTTTATATGTAAATTTTATTTTTTATTTCTTTACCAATATGTAAATAAAATGAATTAAAAAAACTTGATATTTTACCTCGGGAATACAAATGTGGCAAATAATTTGGGAGAGATGGAGTATAAAACTTGGCAAGTGGACCGAGGATTTAAGACGGATATCTCATACCTTATCCAGAGAGATATCCGGTACGGTCTCATACCCAAGTGCTCCACCAATTCTTTACTCAAGAACTAAGCCCACTAAAGAACATCCCACCCCATCTTGGAGAGAATGACTTTCTTACCATTCAAATTAAAGGGAATCCTTTCAAAAACAACCAAGATCAATGATAGAGTGATATACAACAATTTGTATCATACCATTCTCTATACTAATTTGATATCCACCATGACTTACATATGAGTATAATAAATATTCTTTTACTATTTAAATAAGTATTTGTTTTTTCAAATAGCAAAAATAAAAAAAGAACTTTTTTATATGAGAAGGTCCACAAAATTGATATATACTCAAGGTGCACCAAAGAAGCACTCTTACTGGTGAGAAATTTAAAAATACATATTATTTACAATACTATTTCCGTCCCAATATTTGTTTAATTTTGACTTTTTTATGTCAAGCAATTCGAACTTTAAACATGAATGACTCTCTATTTGAATTACGTATTACTAGAACAAAATCAAATTATTAAGTTTCTGAACAAGATAAATGTAACAAAATTATTTTCACATTAATATACAATACAATTTTTATTTATTTCATCGATATTTCGAAATTCATTCAATTTGATTCAAAAAAATCAAACTGGACAAATATATTAAAAATAAGAACAAGCTAAGTCGAAAATGATTACATTGCCAAGCAATGCATTGGGTGATTAATTATACATAGAATAACAATGGGATTAAAGTTATAAATAAGAAAAGCATGGATATATAAATTTATTAAATAATGAATAATATTAGGTCTCATTGAGTTCATTGGAATTGTCATGCATGCATCTGGGACTTGATAGCCGCAACCAGGTGGTCATAGGCCACTCCCCAAGCATCTTTCATATCCTCACTCCACATTTCTCCCGGCACTGCTTCTTTTATGGTCTCCAATAATGCATACCTTGTCACCTGTATAAACATAAATTTATTATTATTAAATTATTATTATTATTGAATTCTTTAATTCTTGTTATTATTAAATAATTATTTATAGTTTACCAAATATATGGTTATTGGAATACCTCAAAATGAGCATCAGTGATGCCGTACTTGAAGTGCGTGGCGCCCAACTTCTTCAAACTCGATTCCCACACTACCGCTTTTCCGGCTTTCCTCAGCTCCACCGCCGCTTGACACGTCTGCACACACCCACCCACCCGCTCACATAATTAAGAAATACACTTTTAAATTTCATTTTTAAAAAATTATACTCCGGTGTACTACTTTCGTCCCTAAATAAACTTCCTCTTTCGTTTTTTCTTTGTCCCTAAATAAACTTTTCTTTTCCCTTAAAAAACTATTTTTACCCTTTTCTTTTTCATACCTACCTATCACATCATACCTTTTTACTAATAATCTAACTATCACATCTTACTTTTACACATCACATAAAAAAAAATTAACTTAAAAAAAAAGGTTGAAATCACATACCATCACAAAGACGGTTTTGGCGTGCGCCTTGAGCTTTGGGTTTTGGCTGAGGGGAACCTCTCGGGCGTCGCCGCTGCCGCCGCTCAGAAAGGAGAACAGCTTCTTAACCGACGGTGCAATTTCAAATATCCTGCAGACAAATAATTATTAAGAAAAAAAACCATTATAAATTTATACTCCCCATGATATATTTCACAAAACAAATTGATTTTAATTTTGATTTTATAAACAAATGATTTAAGGTAGTGTTTGGCAACTAGCATTTCAATTCATGCATTTCAATTCCAAAATTTGAAATCTTGAATTTCAAATGACAAGGGGAGGTGCATGAATTTCAAATTAAGCTTTGTTATGAATGAGAAGAATTTGACTCAAATCCAAATTCAAAATTTTTAAGTTTCCCAAACATGGAATTTGAGTCAAATCCGGATTTGAAATCCAAATCCATGTTCCCAAAGATACCATAACTTAGTTTGATCTAGACATATAACAGTATGATTTATAGGCGGATCCGGGGCAGGGGGGAGAACGAAGATAGGCAGTGAAACGACGGCGTATGAGGGAGTAGGAAGCACTTGCCGGAGGAAGAGTTTGAGGCCCAGATCGCCGGCGTCCTTCTTCATCAAGTCCCAAGACTTGAGAACCAGAGCTTCCTGTTCCTCTGTGAAACTACTCATCCTTTAATTATGAGTGTTAATTTAAAGCTTCCCTTTCCTTTGATCGATCTCTAATGGAATTTCTCAACTCTTTTATACGAAGTGAGAGGGCAGCCCGCTGCCCGCCACACCATTGACCTTTCATACATCTTGCATCGCAATAGTGAGGGGGTAAAATGGCCCTTGAGCTGCTTGGAGAGCCAGCAGTCTTTTTCAGCTGTTTTTTTTTTGAAAGTTTAAAAAGAGAGACCATGAAAAACTTACGCATTACTTCTAATCGTTTTGATGTTGTTATCCAATGTACTCCTACATTAAAATATCCTCTAAATATTACTCCGTATGTAAATCACTCTCTCTTTTCTCATTCTCTGTTTATTAGTTTTACTCCCTCCGTCCCGCAATATTCGTCCACTTTTGACTTTTGGAACTGTTCATCTAAGCACTTTGACTTATCAAATTCTCTCAATGTGTAAGCCTAAATATAGTCATGTGTGATCTTGTTTGATTTGTCTTAACATATAGATTATTATTATATAATTTCTATAATTTTTTAATATACAAATTACTCCGTACAAGATAAAATGTATTAAAGAGGTGCATTGAATGGTGTGCAAAAATGAAAGTGGACAAATACTTTGGGACGGAGAGAGTATATATTAAAAATATCTTACTCTGTATTCTTTTCGTCTTGACACATTCAAAAAGAAAAAAATTAGGCAACAAATATTAATAAAATTTAATGATATGAATAATGAATAAGAAAATAATTTTTTGGACGGGATGAGTATGATATAGACCTAATTAATTAAAATGCCACAAGATAAAAAAAATTATTTTAGGAGATAGTGACGCTAATTTAACTCCTAAAATAGTGAACTCCATCAATTATACACACCATTCATATTGCACGGAAAAGTTTCACAATGTTGTTGGCCCTTCAAGTGCTTCGAGAGCCAGCTTTTTAATAAAGACGAGGAATAACGGTTCTTTAATACTACTTCCGTCTCGCTATATTCGTCCACTTTTGATTTTTGAAACTGTTCATCTAAGTACTTTGACTCCTTTTCTAAATGTATAAGCCTAAATATAGTCATGTGTGATCTTGTTTGATTTGTCTTAACATATAGATTATTATTATATAATTTCTATAATTTTTTAATATACAAATTGCAAGATAAAATGGATTAAAGAAGTGCATTGGATGGTGTGTAAAAATGAAAGTGGACAAATACTCTGGGACAGATGGAGTAGGTCTAACCGGATTAAATTTGATTTGAATTTTTAAAGGGATTTGTTGGGTATGAACTATTAATTTTACCAACAAAATATTTTGAATCTTTTTTTCTAAGATAAATAAATTAATCATGAAGGTAAAGATTATTTAAAACCAGAACTAAAAAACAAGGAATGATATTAGTATGATTGTTATCTTATTCTCCAAACAAATACTCCGTACTATCCTATTTTTTTATTTGAATTTCCAAAACAAACATCACTTCCCATTTAAAGAAAAAAAAAGCTTATGTGATTCTTTCTCCTTTATATAAATAAATCTTCCACATATAATTTTATTTTTAAAAATCTATGAAAGTCAAATTAAAAAAATTTCTTGCACATGAGTAAAATTTAAACTACCAAAATAAGATTCAATTAATTTAATTCTCTAAATATGAGTGTATGACAATATAATATAAGAATGATTGAAGTGTGATAGAAAAATAATGATAATATATAGTAATTTGACAGTCTAATCATTCAATTGGCAGTGGACCATCGTTCAATATCAACGACTAGCAACAATACTTTGGTGACCTGCGACTGCAAATGAAAGAGTGATAATAATTATGTGGGAGTGGCTATCTACAAAATGGTGAGTGTAATAGTATATCAATGACAATATAAATTTTATTTTTGATCTTAAAAATTTATAACTCCTATTTTATGTTTTCTTAATTTTTTGTTTGTTTAGAGTTCTCTCAAAATTTAAACAAGCAGGTTGGAGTAAATTTCCTGTAATTGAAGGTCAAAATTGTGAAATTACTCCGACTCCCTAACAGAATTGCCACATGGAGTTCGTCCTTTCCCGCCTCTCCAAGTCGTTACGAAGACGGTTATAAAAGTCCCCGCGCCACCTGCTCCCATTGAGATTCTCAGTATTTTCCATTATCACATTCTCGAGCCTTCTCTACTGAGTTCTGCAAATCCGAAATATCTCCTTAAGATTCTCGGAAACCGCCATGGCTACCTCTCTGCGACCGCCAACACTCATCGCGATCTTCATCGCCGTCGCCATCTCTGCAGCCGCCGGCGCTGACTTGTCTCCGCCGCTTCCATCTTCATCGCCGCCGCAGGCATCTCGTCGCGGAGAAGAGGTTTACACGCCTCCTCTGGTCGCCACCATTCTGTTCACTCTAGGCTTCCAGGAGCTCTCCACGGCGGCCGTGAAGGCTAACATCTCCGCCGCGACTCCGATCACCATATTTGCTCCGGCGGATTCATCTCTGGCCACGTGTCCTTCGTGCTCTCTCCCGCTACTGCTGCAGGAGCACTCTGTTCCTGGACTCTATCCGCTCCATTTCCTGCGCAAGTTAGCGTCCGACACTAAGATCCAGACGCTGGCTGAAAATCGCTGCCTCACTATTACGACGACCGTCGGAGGAGTGCCTCGGGATCAGGATCCGGGGAAGGTTTTCGTCAACGGCGCCGAGATCGTTCAGCCGGACGTCTTCCACAACGGCTTTATGGTGATTCACGGCGTCGAAGGCTTCCTCACTCACCTCTCGGCGAAATCGTGCAACATGGAGGAGATGACTACCATGTCCTTCCCTCCTCAATCGCTGGTGTCCGCATCCGGAACCGGAACAATGATGATCTCTATCATGCGCCTTATGCAAAACGACGCCATTCTCCGCCTGGAGAGCATCGGATACAGAATCGTTGCTCTGGCGATGAAAGTCAAGTACGCAGAGATTTCGAGGCTGAAGACCATGACGGTGTTCGCTCTGGACGACGCCAATCTCCTCACCGGCAACGGATTGCTCTATCTATCCAATTTCCATTTCCACGTTGTTCCTAATCGGAGAATCCTTGCCTCTGAGCTGGTCACTCTGCCGACCGGGACCGTTTTGCCCACCATGGACGGCGAGCATAAGCTGGTGGTGACAAATCCAGGTGGCGGAGGGGCACTGGTGCCGTTGAGGATAAACTACGTGAGGGTGACCACGCTTGATCTGCTCCACAACAGCCGGATCGTCGTCCATCAAATATCTGCGCCGTTCCCGCATATGATTGATCAGACTCAGTTTAGCGTTTCCCAGATTGCGCAGCCACTGTGCGATGTCAATTCCACCGATGCCGGAATATGTAACCTCGGCGATCATGCCGCTCCGGTTGGTGCTCCGATTCCGATGGATCCAGAACGCCGTTATGGCCTCTGAACTTCTTCACACATGGTTACAGTCCTTAATTGTGAGTCCCTAGATCGTTTATTACTCTCAAAGATCGATCATCACATTTGTGAGTTGAAAACTTTCTGATTTTACTGAATTGAGTGATATGCACTTCCACAAAATTTACTGTTCTGTTTTGCTGTGAATTAAACTAGGTCCTCCATGGATGAATTGAAATTTAATCCCGAGTTTCAACTACAAGAAATTTAATCTGCAATGGATTCTTAATGTTTACTCACTTGATGTGTCTAGTAGCACTTCAGCTATTGCTATGCTTTCTATACATTCATTTGCTGCAAAAACACCAACAAAAATGTGGAAAACAGAGAACCATTATGAATGGAGTGGCAAATCAAGAGTGAGGTCAATTCCATGGCTTAGTTCTCTTTCATTCCAATAAATTTACAATAAAGAAGAAATGTGAACTACTCCCCAGTCCCTATAGCTGTTTTTACTTTGAAAGATTTGAGTCAAATTGCCCTTTTAAAATGAACATGACATGGAAATTCATTTTAAGGGTCCGTTTGATATACGGAATTGGTGGAATTGGAATTGAATTGGAATTGGGATTCCATGTGATTCAATTCCATAGAATTGAATTCACCAATTTCAATTCATTTTTCGCATTATTAATTCCAAATTCACATAATATTTGTGCTACCAAACACCAGAAATAGAATTGAAGTCCTCAATTTCAATTCCATAATTTGAATTCCTTGTACCAAATAGGGCCTAAAGGAAGTTCAAAATAATATTTCCACAAATGCAATCTTGCTAAATTTCATGTTTCTTTTTTTATTTTGACAGTGCTAAATTTCATGTTTCTAATGATAGAGATTGCTTCGTAAAAAGTGTAAAATTAATTAATTCCATAAAATTATGTTAGTTATAAGGTTAAATTAGTCATTTTTCTCATTTCTATTGCTCTTGGAGTACCCTCATCATGTAGGCCAAGAGCGTAGACATATTAGCATGGTTAAAAGCCAAGGTTGCACTAGCTAGACATTTGGGTTACAAATGTGGAATTTATTTGTAAATTCTATTTTTCTTTTGTAGAATTTCGTTGGAAAGATATCCACCATTTCAATCAAATAAATAAGATAAGAAATTTCAATAAATTTTACAATTTTATTTCACAATACAATTATTATGGCACAAATGCACTCTAAGTTAGGGGCATAATAGATGTAATAAAGAATTGCAATATTACAAGGATAAAGCTACTTGTACCCCAACCTTTTGTACCCCAATTTGTACCCCGTAGTTTTGCACCAACATTTTGTGTTGGTATAAAACTAATTTTTGTTAACGCACCAACATTTTGTGTTCGTGTAAATTTTTGTCAACGCACCAACATTTGTGACAGTGTAAACCATCAAAATGTTTGTGTATAACTGCGGTGTACAAATGAGGTACAATTTTTGGTGTAAATGTAGCGGATGATTTGGCCAAGAATTGGTTTTACATACTCCTTAAAACCTCATAAACTAAATTACTAATTTTGAAAATAAATTTAGGATGAAAAAACATGAAAGTCCTATTTTGGTACTTCCTTCTATGACCTGTTGAGACCGTGCGTGCCCTCATAACAACCCCGCATTAGTATGATATTATCCGCTCTGGGTCAAGCCCCACAGATTTGTTTTTGGGCACCTCCTAAAAAGCCTTCTATTAATGGGGTTGGATGAACTTATATATTTTGGTTCATTTACTCCTAAACTTCTGGTGTGGGACTTGGAGAAATCCCAACAAACCTCCCCCCTCAACCAAGGACTACACAACTTCCGACCTCCCCTCCAGCGGTAATCTATTTTTTATCTGCTAATCATCTTGCACCGCCGCACACTCTTTGCGGGACACGCCGCCCGACCTCCTGTCTGGAAGACTTTCGACGCAAGGCTCGAACAGCAAATCTTTCCTTCGTTGGGCTACACCATTTGATCCGCCAAATCATCTTGTATCGCCGTGGCTATAACTTCACGGGACACGCCGCATGACCTTCTCTTGTCGGGAAGACTTTCGACACAAGGCACCACCTGCAGATCCTCTTTCTTGGTCTTGGTTCTGTTGTTACACCGTCACACCAAGATTTTTTCACACTGCACAGTCCGTTGCTCACGCCCGCAAGAACTTAGGCTCCGATACAACATGTTGAGACCACGCGAGTCCTCACCCCAACCCCGGTCTTGTACCGCTGTGGCTATGACTTCACGGGACATGCCGCCCAGCCTTCTCTCGTCGGGAAGACTTTCGACACAAGGCACCACCTGCAGATCCTCTTTCTTGGTCTTGGTTCTGTTGTTACACCGTCACATCAAGATTTTTTCACATTGCACAGTCTGCTGCTCACGCCCGCAAGAACCTGGGCTCCGTACCACAGGTTGAGATCGCGCGTGCCCTCACCTCAACCCTGCATTAGTATGATATTGTCTGCTCTAGGCCAAGCCCTAACGGATTTGTTTTTGAGCACCTCTCAAAAGGCCTCATATTATTGGGTTGGGTGAACCTATATTTTTTGAATCATTTAGTCCTAAACTTCCTCCCAACATAACCCTCGATAAGACTATTCGTAATGCCACATTTTGTAATAGGCATGATCCTTGTTAGCTAATCGAAGCTGGAGTGAAGCATGTACTTGAAATACCATTCCTGTTTATACGTGAGTCTTCTTCCTTGAATGGTGAAGTGACATTGTGACCAAGGTCACAACAACTTTCCCATAATTTTTTTGTTTAATTCCCCATCTTTCTTTTATTGTTCAATTCTCATTGTTGTTTTATTGTTTCTTATTGTTCAATTCACATTATTTTATTGTTTTTTTATTGTTCAACTCCTATGTTTTTTTGCCTTTAATTGTTTTTCCCATTTTGTGAAAATCGTAACATCAATGTTAATTTTTTTAAATTTAAACTCTAAAATTTCAATCTCTACGCACTCCTTTCTACATTGTGATAATGTGACACTGTATATCAACATTTTACAATATTTTTTGGTAATGTATATGGTCATGATTGACGCTCTAAATGCATTTTAACTCTTGAGTCGATCTAAGTCTCGTAACGTGTAGTTGAAAAACCAACTTGGACGGAGATAGTATAAAAATGATTTGTGATAAAATAACTATAGGTAGTGTTTGGAAACTCGTACTTCATTTCAATTCCAAAATTTGAATTTTTAAATTTCGAATGAAAAGGTGAGGTGTATGAATTTCAAATTGAGTTATGTTTTGAAGGAAAGAAATTTTATTCAAATCAAAATTCAATTTTTTTAAGTTTCCCAAACATTAAACTTTAACCAAATTCGGAGTTGAAATTCAAATCTAAATTCTCAAACATACCAATAATGAATTTAACAATCAACAATAAGTAATTTTTTACTCCGTATTAATTTCTAAAGTAGAATATTGATTCAAGACTGTCTATTGTCTAATCTTCCATTCGAACCCGACCCGAATTCCCGATAAGACTTACTCCCTCCGTCCCCTTATATTTGTCTACTTTCATTTTTACACACCATCCAATGCACTTCTTTAATCCATTTTATCTTGTAATTTGTATATTAAAAAATTATATATTAATAATCATTATGTTAAGACAAATCAAACAAGATCACACATGACTATATTTAGACTTACACATTGAAAGAATTTGATGAGTCAAAGTGCTTAGATGAATAGTTCAAAAAATCAAAACTGGACGAATACAGGGGACGGAGGGAGAGGGAGTACGATTCAAATCCAACAACAAAAAAACTAGACTCGTCTGGTTTTGGGTACAATCGAACACCCGACCCATTGAGAGCATTCAGGAATGGTTGTGCGACTCAGGAGATAGGGTTTTTCCTCGCTCTCAGTATCCAAGCGAAATCTCCATTAATTCTGAAAATGGAGCCAATAAACGGCGAGCCGGAGGCGCAGCAATCCGACGTCGTTCCTCCGTCTGCTTCATCCTACCTCGACCCAAACTACTGGTGAGTTTCTTCAACTCACAAATACCCAATTTCACTCACCTCCTTCCTTCTGCAAACTCTGCACATAAGAAACTTTATTTTTGATTTTTTTTGCAATTTGTGGTTTCTTTATCTTCTTTTTTTTGTTGCCAGGGACAAAAGATTTGCTCGAGAAGATTACTACGAATGGTTTAAAGATTACTCCCATTTTCGCCATCTCGTCCTTGCACACATCCAGCCGCGTTCTTCTGTCTCCCTTCATTTTCCCTCTCGTTTTTCTTTTTCTTGTTTTCCGGACATTCTTTATTTTAAAGATTTGATTTTTAGCCATCTCCTGAATTTTCATGATCAGGTGTTGGAGCTGGGATGTGGGAATTCCCAGATGTGTGAGGAACTGTATAGAGATGGTGTGAGTAAACTCACCTGCATTGACTTATCCCCCATTGCTGTGGAGAAGATGAAGACCAGATTACTATCCAAGGGCTTTAAAGGTAAGAACATATTAAGCTGGTAAATTCCACAATTAAATTGCATAAAGTAGCAAACTATTTGTGGAATGTCCTTAATTATAGAGGACCATCTGTGAAATTTACTCTTGATATGATGGTTACTTTGTTACTTGTTGAATTGATGAATTAACAGCCTATTTGGTAGTACATTTTTTATATTATAGGCCTTACCACCAGGTTTTTTCACCTAAAGTTGCTTAGTGTGGCTAGCAGTTAGTGGATAGTAATGAAAAAGAGTAGATAAGAAGTTACTTTTTTTTAGAAAATTATTTGTTATGTTTTTGTGGTGAGGCGTGTCATGTCTTTGCCCAATGTGGTATGGTTGATAAAAAAATTGTACCAAAGCGATGTTCTAACCTGTTCTGTTTCGAATGCCGTCCAGAAATTAAGGTGCTTGAAGCAGACATGCTTGATTTGCCATTTGAGGATCAATGTTTTGATGTTGTTGTAGAGAAAGGAACAATGGTTAGACTTCATCATTCTTTCAACCTTTGTGTGTGTGTGTACACACACAAAGATATATACATTGTGGTTCTTTTGAAACTCATCACGGGCGTCAAAATATGTCATTTGAGGGCCCTACGGTGCTCCATTTGATTCCAAAGCGATTCCTACCCCCACAAACCTTGTGGGCCTGCAACACTTCCGTCAAATGGAGCACTGTTAAGGCCTTCAAACTGCCTGATGTCATATTATGACACCAGCCCTTAGTGCCAAAAGAACATAGCTCATATATATATATGTATATGGACCATTTTGAATTTGAAGGACGTGTTGTTCGTGGACAGCGGTGACCCCTGGAATCCTCACCCCGTAACTACAGAGAGAGTGATAAAAATGCTCAAAGAAGTTCATAGAGTTCTGAAACACAATGGCACCTTCATCTCCATTGCTTTTGGCCAGGTTAAGGCCCCGTTTAGTAGCTTATTCTACTTATAAGCACAATACATAACTTTTAATTTACTTGTATGATTGAAACGGCTGTTAGTTACCAAACACTTTACAAGACTTGGTTATTCTGCACATTCAGTCTTGTAAAACAAAAAGCCATTACCAAACGGGGTTCTAAATTATCTACTCCGTAACTTGTAAACTTTTTTTTTTTTGCAGCCCCATTTTAGGCGTCGCTTCTTCAACGACCCAGAGTTTACTTGGTCCGTTGAGTGGAATACGTTTGGAGAAACGTTTCACTATTTCTTCTATGTCTTGAAAAAGGTTACTCTACAACTAAATTGATAGAATTATTTCTTCTTTTTAAGCTTTGCTTGCAAACAACCTCTCTACTGTCAATTAGTGCTTTCATCGATACAAATTCTATATTCGCAGGGAAATCGGACATTTGAGAGCTATGAAGTGTTGGAGCCAAGCGCGAATCCATCAAAATCTCTATTTCAAGAGGAGCTCGACGTTGACGACTACTTATTTAGAATCAACATTGATGAAATGTAGTGGCTGAAGTCGAACTTTTTTTTTCCTTTTCTAACCTTTTTGCTCTTCGCCGGGGTGGAAACAATCTCTCTATTTCCAAGTAGGGATAAGATATACATACAGACATCCTGGGCTACTGGTTTTGTTGTTGTAACCTTTTTACACTTGTGTTGATCACTAGAATATGAAATTCATAGTCTGTTTTTATTTTCAGAAGTTAATTAAGTGGTTTATAATGTTTTCTTATATTTTTGTATTAATTTCAAGCTCATAATTATTTTCACTTTTTTAACCTTCATGTTCATTCAAAGTGACATGGTAGATTGTGACAGAGGAAGTAATTAAATTAAACAAAAGACGATAAACATACATAAGAGATCGTAAAAAAAATCTTTGTTTATTGCATTTGTTTATATAATGTTTTTCTACCTTCACATTAATCTCAATGACAGTTTTTACTTTGTTAATCTTTGTGCCTAGTCAAAGTGCCAAAGCGGTAATAAATAATCTCACTTTTCAATGTTATGTAAAATAATCCTAAATTTTAAGTTATGACGTTTTTTGAGTCACTTTACATCCCTGGTGAAAAAATTAATAGCAAGATGAGTTAAATATTCTTTTGTTTTATAGTTTGTCTAAAATGATCTTACCTTTCGTGAAGGTACGCAAAATAATTCTACTTTTTTTAAAATTGCTTATAATAATCTTATACTCCGTATTTTAACTTCTTTTTCTAAGTTTTGTTCAAATCCCTCGTTATTTAAATAAATATACTGCACTTTTTTATTAATGAAGAAAAATTGTCTCAAATTGATGATAATATTTTAAAAATAAAATTGAACTAAAAATGATGAACTCTTTTGTTAATTTTTTGGTAGACCACAAAAAAGGTGAATCACTCTTTATTTTACTTAAAATCAATAAAATACCAAATAAAGTAGTTTAACTCTAAAAACAATAAAATACAAAAAAAACTAGATAACTAACGAAGTAAAAACTAGTTTATTTTATATTTTTATAATTTTAACTAAAATAAAAAGTGATCTCAGCTTTTTGTGGTCGACCAAAAAACGCGTCTAAGCTGTAGCTGCATTGAATTTGTTTTTTAACGGTGACCCAAAATACGCAACAACTTGAAAAGTTGAGATTATTTTAGATTACATTAAGAAGTATGACTATTTTTAATAGACGATCGAAAGGTAAAATACTTTTATATACTCTACTCTCAAACAAAATTAAAAGTATGTATTATCCATGTTTTAAAAAACAATAAGTGGAAACAATTAAATGCAAGAGAAACATGCATAATAGATTGTGTTAAAAAATAATTGAAATTTATAATGATTGATCATTTGAAAATATTTTTTTTTCAAAGTTTAAAAAAAAATTAAATATGTTGCCCCATTCGCTAGAGGAAGGGGTTGAACCTTCGACCTTGTGGTTAACAGCCACACGCTCTAACCAACTGAGCTACTCCAGCACGTTGTTGCACTGCTCGCCTTTTATTTTATTTTACCATTGAATAGAAAAGCCTATTCCTTAGTATTAAGATTAAGCCAATTAAAAGTAGCGTAAACAGATAAACTATATGTACTTAAATAGATCAAGAATGTATAAAGAGATACTTAATTATAATAGAGTTATCAGTGTTATAAAAGATTATATGTGTTCCAAAAAAATATCATTATATTTATTTACTGTTTGAGTTGTTGAACTGTTAAAACATACTCCGTAAAAATTTTAAATATATGTCATTATATAATGCTCCCCAAATCCCAATAAAAATAACACTATTCATCACTCACAAATCAAACCTTATCGTCTTTATTTGCAAATTTTTATTAATCATTTGACAAAATAAGATAGTCACATTACTTTTTATAATGTATAATTATTATGTAATTTTTTAAACAAGAGTATTTTTTTTATTTACACGAATTTGAGAGACTTTTTAAAATTTTGAATTCACTACTTGCAGACTTTATTATCTTGATGTTTTGGTTTAAAATATTTTATTAAAGTTATTTTCAATTCAGTTTATTTAATTATTATCATAAAAAAAATAAAATAAAGTTTGTTTATATAAAAATAATATTAAAGATTCCATAGAATAAAAAAGATACAAGATTAATTTATTTTAACAAGTGATCAATGAAAATAAATTTGGGACAAAGAAAATATTGTTTTGTAATGTGATTGTAAACAAAATGGTGCAAAACAAACTTAAAGTGAAAATCAAATGTCAAGTACATGAGGCAAAGTTTTCCTGAAGTTGACCATTACAATACTCTCTCCAATCAATTGGAATTTGCACAAAATTGCATCAATTTGAAGGCAAATGCTAAAAAACTAAAACTATAAAGAGGCTAATACAAATCAGTTGCATAAATTCAAAATTGAGGGATTGTCCCATGTTTCCTTGAGCCAATCTTTTGCTACAATTATCACAACATTTTTCAAGAATATGGCACAACCAAAAAACTTAATGTGTCCTCAACACCCATTATCTGTCTGATTCCCCATCCCCGTCTTCAACCAAAAACTTGAGCTTTTTAACTAAGTTGGTCCTTTGGCGTATATCCTCAAGAATTTCAATCGTATTTTCAAAAAGAATTATAATTATGAAGTGTATTTTAAAAAAGAAGAATAATATTTCAGCAGTTTTCCTATGAGTTCATCTTGTTTCAATTGCAATCCTTTGTATATTAGACTGATCCAAGCTTTCTTGATTCTCCACTGCCCCACCCCAATATCTCACTCTTTCCTCAGCTTGAAGAGCCTGTGTTTGGTAAAAGAAACATTGAAGATATAAAGTCCCGCGTCGAAAACTCGGGATAAAAAGACTAGTATATATATAAAGAATATGAACTTCTCCTTCTGTTGTTACCTCTTTATGCCAATTTTTCCTGGCAATGATAAAGTACAAGATGATGGTCTGTAGGACACTCCCACCCAACATTGCAGACCATATGCCCTTAACCCCAAGATGAAACTTGTAGCCAAGGAGTGCCCCAATCGGGAGGCCAACCACGTAATAGCTTACCAAGTTTACCCCCGCCACTATATGTTGCCAACCCGCGCCAACTGCCACCCCTGCATTTAAAATTTTATTTTTTTATATGTCTGGGTGTGATTCGAACTCGTGACCTCTGGGTCAACAGGACTCTGAAAACCGGTTTTATAATCATACCGTGGAAAACCGGTTGGACAGAGTTTAAGAAGATTGTTGCAGCGAGGAGATATCCTAACTTGGAGGTCGTCTTCATGACCTCGTCGTTCTTCGTGAACATCCTGGGAAATTGGTGCACGGTGGAGGCTACAACGACTGTGAAAACAGTTCCTAGGATTGCTGATGTCACTGTATTCACAGTGATTGAGAACTTCGCGGCGTCCGGTCTCCCTGCTCCTAGCTCATTCGAAACCCTCACACTGCGACAACACAATTCTCATATATTTATATAGAAAACAATCATGCTAGGGGAACTCCACATTTGACATCACAGTGTCTCACACACAGACAGTTCTTTCATAGACAGATATTGTCTGCGTGTGTCTCTGAGACACTATGGTGTCAAAGGTGGTGTCAAATATGGGGTTTTCCTAGATTTTTTTGTATATAAAAAACCAACAAAACATATGATTAGTGATTTTGATGATGAAATGAGTTTCTTTTTTACCTGACAGATGCATTGAATCCAAGAGCAACCATCAGTGCCCATAGTTGCAGGTTCACACTGTCATATACAACGATGATACAATCGGTATGAGTGAAAACTAAACAAGAGTAAAACAAGAACGAAAAAAAGTGTTTGAGTTTTCCTAATAGTTTTCTAGTTTAATTTCTTCTGTATATTTTTGAGTGTGATTTACTGAGTTCGTAAGAGCTAATTACCATATTGACACCGAGTCCACAGCGACAGCAGCATTGCTTAGCCCTCCAACCATGAGAATCACAGCAGTGAAATACCAAAGCTCCAAACTGCAAATTGCAACCAATGCTACTTTTTTAGAACTCGTTAAAGCATCGTCTCAAACCATAATAATAATAATGAAAGAGTTTAAGATTGAATAAAGAAGAGTACTATTCAAACGGATCATAAAACACTTGAGTCAAACCACACTAAACGATTAGCTAGTTCAACACAAGATCCTTTTCGTCAAGGAACCAACCCAACCACAAGTTCTTGTGATTGGAGTCCCAAGAAATGTTTTATACTTTGATATATGTCAAGAAACCAACTTTTTTGAAACATAACATCTGAGAAGAATAATGTCCAAGTGATGTTGGACATTTAGTTGAATAATGACTAATAGATAATGACTAATGGTCCTACATTGGAAAATAAAAACATATGGTCCTATATTGAGAAAGTCATTATGTTCTAGTCCTATTTAGGTAAATTACCCTTTTTTTAAAACATAACATCAAGTAGAGCTCACTCACCACAACATTGCAGCAGAGGCCAACGATAGCTTCACGAAATTAAACAGCGACTTGAAAGCCATGAATGAGAATCCTGTCCAAGACTCAGGAAACCGGCCCGAGACAATGTAAGCGGCCTGGGCAAGGATCAAAACCCACCAAGACACGTTCCCGGCAACTGCAGCCCCGAGCAAGCCGTGGCCCAGCCTCATAACGAGGGCCCACGTGAGGAGCGAGTGGAGCGCCAGGGTGGCGAGTGACACCATGGCGATGACCCAGACCTTGGTCTGGGACTGGAGGAACTTCTGCATGGGGAAGTTGAACGCGTACGCAAAGAGCTGGGGAATGGCCCAGACCGCGTACTTGCCCGCGACGTGGGAGATGTGTTTGTCTTGGTGGAAGAGTTTGAGTATGGGCGAAGCGAAGATGTAGACCGGGGTGAGTAATATGGCCGTGAACCCGGTGATGATCCATGACCTTTGTAGATAGATTCCCAACATGTTCACCTCTGAAGCTCCCACTGCTTGCCCACACAGAGTCTCAAGAGCACTCCCCATTCCTAACTGTTTGCATGTATAATAAGATGGTGTTTGGGAATGTCGTGAGTAATAGAAAAGTAGAAGTCGTAAAGTACAAGCGGAAAACAGTTATTTTTAGCTTTGGTGGAAAGCACTTCTAGACTTTAATTTCTACTTCTAAATCTATAATTCATAAGCTAAAGCAGATTGCCAAACATTCAAGATAGTAGTTTTTTTTTAGTAAAGTAGAAGCTATAAGTTATTTTCAAATGCACTCGGTTTTCATGACATGGTAGCCAAATCTTGTTAACCTAAATTCTACTCCTTTCGTCCCACCATATTTTACTCGCTTTTCTTTTTAGAAAATCTTTCAAAAAAACACATTCTACTTGCTTTATTTGCTCTTTAGTACTCGTAAGTCGTAATAATAACTCTATACGTTAGCTCATAAGATTTCCCTCACGTCTTAAACAAATTCTAACCATACACTTTTTATTTTTTTACGGAGTAATACTTTTCTTTAACTTTTCCAAGATGCTCTTTAAACACCTCTCATTTGTAGATGAAAAAGTTTATTTTGAGATGAAAGGAGTGAATCATTACAAGAAAATAAAAGAGATCCTCTTACAATGAGGTTTGATTTTGTCTATTTTCAAATCAACTATTTAATTATTGGTGCAAAATTTTAAAATAAAATTTATAAAGGGTAATTTACCTAAATAGGACTAAAACATAATGACTTTCTCAATATTGGACCATATGTTTTTATTTCCCAATGTAGGATCCTTGGTCATTATCCATTAGTCATTATTCAAGTAAATGTCTACCATCACTCCACATTAATCCACTCACTAGACATTATTAAGTCCTATTTAGAGAATAACAAAATTTAAGTCTTAAATTAGGAAATGACATATATAAATAACTAGTAAAAACTATGGAGTAAATATAAAATGTTTCATACAACATTAAGGGGCTGTTTGTTTCAGCCTCTTAATGGTTCAGATGTCTGAATGGTTCAGACCTCTTATTGCTTCAGCACTTAATGGTTCAGACCTCTTACTGGTTCAGCACTTACCTATTCAGAAGTTGCCAAACAGCCCCTAAGTGTCTTAACAAATTAGCACTGAAAATAAATACTCCTATGTAAAGAAAGAAGAAAAGGTTTGATATTAATTTGGGGCAGAGAAAGAGAAATAATTACCATGATGCCATAGACAAAACCTTCGATGACATTCTGAACTTCTGAGACAGCGGCGAGCTCCACGTGGCCGATTTGTCCGACGAAGGCGGAGGTGACGAAGCCGAAAGAGAACTGAGAGACGGCGGTTATGATGGCGGGTCCGGCGATGTGCCACACCGCCTTCGACTCTTCCCGCCATTTGTGCCCAAATTTCCTCCATTTTCGAACCCTACCGTTGTTATTTACCTTTCTGCCGCCATTCTCACCCGAACCCGCCACCGCCTGTTCTAATTCCATTTTTTTATTAATTTTATTTTCTCTTGTTTTTTTTTCTTTTCTTTCTGGGAGAAAATAGAGAGAGAGAAATGAATAAATAGGTTGGGAGGTTCAGTTAGTTTGGTCAATGAAAGACGCAAATAGAGTGGAGGAATCTTAGCTGTGTTTGTTAGCTACCCACGTACGACTGCTTTCCCAAACTAAGTGTTTTGTCTGGTTATTATTCATACGGTCAAACTCTAATTATATTTTGTACGTACTTATTTTAATTAATTAGTTGATAAAATAATATAGTCTTTTCACTTATTGTTTTGTAAAATTTTTGACATAGTGTTTAAATGAATATATAAATTTTATTTAACAAGAATAATCAGGATATGAGTCATAATAATACACTTGGATAAATCCACGTCCAAATAATCAAGAAGAATTGAACCCGGACTCTACCTGCATGCTCTGATAGAATGTTAAAATTTCGATAGGCCAAGAACAACATACAAATTGTCGTATAAAACTAATCAATTACGTACAAAGTCAGCTCTACAAGAAAAATATTTTAGGACAGAATAAAAATATACTCCCTCCGTCCCACTCTTTTTGTCCACTTTCATTTTTGCACACCATCCAATGCATTTCTTTAATCCATTTTATCTTGTAATTTATATTTTAAAAAATTATAAAAATTATATATTAATAATCTATATGTTAAGACAAATCAAACAAGATCACACATGACTATTTTTAGACTTACACATTGAGAGAATTTGATGAGTCAAAGAGCTTAGATGAACAGTTCCAAAAATCAAAACTGGACAAAAAGAGTGGGACGGAGGTAGTATTCTTGAAGATTACAATGGGACGGAGGAGGGACTAGGGAGTATGAAGTTGCTTTGAAGCTTACCGGTTTTGTTAACTCTTTTGGAAAAAGGTACGAAGAAAACAAACGTGGCGAGAGAGATGCCATATATGTAAGTCTGGGTTTGGTAGACGCCTAGGTTGACCGAATTATATGACTTTTACAAATTTCCAAAAAGAAATATAATTAGAAATTATTTAAACGAAAGAAAATTATAGGAAATGGCGCATTTCATTTTTTTCTTCATTGTGAAAATAAAAATAGAGAATTATAAATTTTATTTTGAAATTTATATTTAAAAAAAGAAGAAGAAAGAGTACTGTTTTTTAAAATTGTAAGAATGTAATTTGAGGTGGGAGGAAGAGCAAGAACTTTCAAATGTTTAGTTACACGTTTAATTCGCCACTAGTCCCCACGTATGTTTAGATTTACAATTTCCCACTTGGCACGGTTGGTATACCCAAATTTTCTCCCCTATGTAACTCTTTATTCTGTCCATTTCACAATGATTATCTATTAATGATAATTACGGAGTATATTTTAAAATGAATGTAGACTATCTACATTCATTTAAAAGTTGATGTATCAAATAAATTTTAATAAATAGGTTATTGTAAAGTGGATGGATTAGATAGAATTGAAAAAATTTAAGACTTATTTATAGTTTAGTCTTATTTAATTTTTAAGACTTATTTATAATTTAGATGATAGAATATACAAAAATACACTTCATTTAACTGTCATTTAATAGACCTTTTTTACAAAAAAATTATTTAAAAAATACATCTCAATTACAAAGGACCATGTTGGTAATTATTGTTTACTGACAAGTAATTTGGAAAAATACTTTATTGGAAAAGACCATTTTAGGAATTTACTGTTATTTTATTTACATGAGAGAGCCTATGTATTGTTTATTTTAGATTCACGATAGAAGCATAACACAAATGCTTGTTTGGATAATTTTACATGCTAAACTTGAGCAATACGAACCTATCTATCTATCTATCTAAAACAAAACCAAAGAAAACACTAAAAGGAAGGCCGCGATGTACAAGAACGTCTTCAAGAAAAACCTCCTACCCTCCACCGGTTCTCCATCGTGATAAACCCCGTGAGAATAAACTCCGTGAAACGAACTTGAAAACATGTAAGGAGCACCCGTGGTCGCACCATACACGGTGGCGTCGTGAAATCTCTCCGCGTGAAGGGTAAAAACGGAAGAAATGGACTCAAAAAGAGAAGACAACAATGTTAAGTTCCCAAACCTCGCTGCGGCGTTTGGCACTTGCATGAAATCCTCCATCTCCTCGTCTTGTCTGGAACGGTTCGGAAATCTTCTCGTAGCCAAACGCGTCCTAGGGTCGGAACACGCTTTGCCGCGCCCGTAAATGGGGACTAGCCTCTCCTCCTTTATGATGGCCTTGCACACAGGGCATTCGTGAGAGCGCGAATGAACTTGCAGCCATTGGTGGAGACATGGCCAGCAGTAAAGGTGGCCACAGAGTGTGACTATTGGATCACACGCCAATTCGAAGCAGATATTGCACTCGAAATCGGCCCACTCGACATCCGATGATTCGCCAGCTTTGCCGCTATCCATGTCCACAAAGCCTCCAGTCAAGCACATGTTATTCATATAAGTGTTCAGAACAAGATTCATACATGTCTAAATCAATCTAAAACAAAACTAGAAGAAATCACCCCAAATAGGTTTATCCTCAAGATAGGAGTTCCATGTTTCCTTCTCCAAAATAGGAGTTTGCAGTGTGACATTATGGCACTGTATAGTGGCATCCCACTCTATTATTTGGTACAATATATTGAGTTATTGACAATGTAATCCTATTTTGGGCATAAAAAACATTGATATCCTATTTTGGTACTTTTTAGATGTTTTACTCCTAGTTTAGTCCATTTCCCATTAAAAATATTGAGATGTTTTCACTTTTCATTCATGTGATGCGAGACACTTTTAAACATAACACCATATGTGTACCCAAATGCATGTTGTGTAATGTACACACTATTCAAATACATTAGATAATGTGAAGTACATGTTATTATTAAGGTATACCAAAATCCAACTAATTTCATATGGTTTGAACTCACTCATTAACTTTTCTTTACTTTTAGCCTCTTTTTCTGATGACACTCAATAACTTCTTCACTGAGGCTTTGGGATTTCATTCTAATAGTACAACCTTATAAAACTAGCAGAGTCTAGTAGTATCATCTATATTGCATGTTGGTTTAATTCTGAATCACGCACTTTTCACGACTCAACATCTTTTCAACACCTTTTTTGATCTTTGTAAATTCAAAGTGAACGAACTAATTTGAAACGGATATATCCGTTGAGGTTAATGTGACGATGATGACGATGACGAAGATGATGGAAGATAGTTCTTGTTTTCTAAAAAAGCGAAGAAAAGGTTCAATTTGTTTTCCCTAATCAAGCACATATGCATAGAGCAATTAAGTAGGAGAACAATTGAAAAAAACTTCCAAACAAAGCGTATCCCCTATGCGTCACGAAAAATCCGGGCGAAAGTTCAACCTAAACCACCTCAAATTATAAACACTCCCAAAACAAAGAGGTTGCCTAATAAGTAGAATTAGCAGAACTAACTAAAAGCTCCCATTAATGGTAAATTGCAGAAAACCCAATCCCAACTTCCCATATATCACAAATGATAAGTTGGATCAATTCTTTTTTCCCTTATTTCGTATTGTGAATCACAGTCCAAAACAGAAACCGCGCACACAAAAGATGAGCTCGTATTGTGGTCAAGAAATAATCAGGAAATTAAACACGGAGATTATAAGATGGCGAACAATACAGATCTAAACCAAAAAAAAAAATACTGGTAATAAGATAAAGAAATAAAAGGATTCATCGTGAATAATGAGCGCGTAGGTGCAGCGAAATAGAGGATCTAACCTGAGGAAGAAGGTACTGAACTGCTGATCTGAAAGAAGAAACTGAGTGATTGAAGCAATGGCGGAGAAGGACACCTCGGAGATAAAATGGAAATGGTGTTTGTGTTTGGTCCTTCTTCAAATCCATTTCAAAAGAGCACTAAAATATTGAAAAAATATTAGTTTAGGAATTTTATGTTTTTATTTTTTTTTAAAAAAAATATTATGTTAATATATACTCTCTCCGTCCCACTCTTTTTGTCCACTTTCATTTTTGCACACCATCCAATGCACTTCTTTGATCCATTTTATTTTGTAATTTGTATGTTAAAAAATTATAAAAATTATATATTAATAATCTATATGTTAAGACAAATCAAACAAGATCACACATGACTATTTTTAGACTTACACATTGAGAGAATTTGATGAGTCAAAGTGCTTAGATGAACAGTTCCAAAAGTCAAAACTGGACAAAAAGAGTAGGACGGATGTAGTAATACCAAAAAATAGAGTAAATTCCATAAAAGGTCCCCAGTTATAGGTCGTTTTACATATTTAGTCCCTACATATCAAATATTACTAATTTGGTCCCCAATTATTATATTTATTTCTACGAATGGTCTTTTGTTAACATTTTCATTAAAACGTGGATAAAATTATAAATTCACACTCCTTTCTCTCCTCAATTAAGCTTTCTCCTCCCTTGTACTCCTTTCTCAAACCCGTCGCTGAGTTTCTAGCTTTGAACCCAAAACCAAAATCATCACTCTTCTCTCAATTGTTTGTCTAACTGGAGGAACGATCATTTAAATTTTGGGTTTAAGAGCTTCAAACTCAGCGACGAGTTTGGGAAAGAGTATGAGAAGATGAAGAAAGCTTAATTGAGAAGAGAGAGAAGTATGAATATACAATTTTATCCACGTTCTTAACGGAAATGTTAACAAAGGACCATTCGTGGAAATAAAACGACCTATAACTGGGGACCTTTTATATAATTTACTCCAAAAAATATTTTGACTTTTACAATAATTATTATTCTCATCTGGCTAACATAGCCGGATTTAGCTCCTCCAAACAACATAGTCGGTTCGTCCGGCAAAACTTTCCTTTGAGCTTTGTTGAAATGATATCGTCGCTATGATACATACAACAAACTTTGACTTCACTCGAGTGACTCCAATATGATGCACAAACATCTATACTATTTCTCCATCCACCTGAATGACAGATCCAATGTATGAAAACCCTTTTCTCTTATGTACCAGATGAGCATCGATTTTCACTTTTAGATATGACTCAATTATCAAAGTATTGAATTGGTAATATGTTCTACATTTTTTGTCTTAGTTTTGCTCAAATTAGAACATTTAGGTTTCAGAGTTTATATCCACATCTTTAACCTAGTATGAAGTTCCTTGCTGTTAGAGTACATCGTAAAGTAGAAAGAAAATAATTGATATTATTTTAATGTTATTGACTTTATTACAATGTAGTATCTGTTCATGCTAATTTCAATCTAATGTCGCTCAAAGAACCAAGGTCTATGGTAGGTGAAGTTCCACATGAATCTTGAAGAGTGTGCTTCTTACCACTCAAGTCATGAAAGAAGTTCAAATTATTAATATATAAGTTTTTTAGTTCAACTTAATAATTGATGGATTCAATCTTTTAATGTAGTTACTCTAATATCTTATGGCCTAGTCCAGTGACTCATACCAAATCCTAAATTTTTGTCATGACATCATAGCCAGCTTTAGACCATCTCATTGGTTAAGAAATTTGTCTAGAAGTTCATTTTTAGTGACCCATTAGTCTTTAGTCTAGTTGCCCGTATGGAAAATGGCGTGTGTCTCAAATAACATCTACCACTGGGATAATCGAGAAATGGCTAAAAAAGACTCCTGATGTATACTAAAAAGTCATTTAAGTCACTTCCTAAAAATCTCTAATCCTCACCCTTTCTCCATTATACATATCCTTAATAGCTCGCATGCAAGCAAACAACAATCCTATATGTTCTATGTGACATAGTAGATACAACTATATTATTTTATTTAAATAAGTAATGAAAATATAAATATTTAAGTAAAATCGGTGCTTAAAAATATTTTCATGAGAATTTATAGGCCAAAAGGTTATTTCAATTTTTTTAATTTAAATATTTCAACATTAGTGTTAAATTTGAAAATTAAACCTATACATTTAAAAAATAAATAAAAACCCATTATAAAACAAAGAACACTATAATCATAGTCACTCTGTACTAAAAAGGTTATCACAGTTTTATTTTTTATCAAATCGTGCAGTACTTTGACCATAAATTAAATATTCCATATTTTTAAAATAATGGAATGTTATAAAAAGTTGATATGTGAAAACTATATTATAAAACGAACCATATTTGACTAAACTTATATTCCGTGTTATAATTAAACATATTTTTTTTCATAATTTATGATCAAAGTGTAACACAATATGATAAAAAGGTCAAACTGTGACAATCTTATTGGGACAGAGGAGTATTAATTTTTAATTTTTTTTTTGAAAATAAATAAAGAAAAAATAAAAAAGGTTAACTTGTAAATAACAAAATGGAATATTTGCAAAATGCTCTTAATTCCAACTTCATCCGTCCTAAAAAATCTTTCTTTTTTAAATTTTTTTGATCAACTAGTGACATTCTTTGAATACATATTAAAACCTAATTTAAATAAATAAAAGTTACAGAGTATAAAAATTTGATATATCCAAACTACTCCGTATATGTAAAGATGAATTTAATTATATTAAATTTACATTAATTTTTTTTACGGAGTACAATTTGAATTTATGATCAAAAACATGATTTGTGGTGGATCTCCTAAATTTGGTACGTCTCTCTAATCTAAGCATTAACGGGACCTCCACACTTGGTATATGCTCTCCCCACTTTTGGTGATTTGCAGTCTTGCAGAGCTTTGTTGCCATGGAGTCCTTCAAGTAGTGTATTAATTACGAGAATGCGCTTCTTTTAATAAAGCAAACCAAAAACCACCAAACTCTCTCACTTTCTCTGAATGGATTCTCTTTTCCTGCTATTTTGAATGTAGTTCTACTGCCCCAAGGTAAGCTATCAATCGACTGCATTCAATTTCTGCCAAAAAAAGAAAAAAAAAACAAATCTTTCTTTATTTTGACACAATAATAATTGACCATTTCCATGTTCTGCATTGTTTAATTTCTTTGTTGGGTAATGTTGGGTGTCTCCATCTTTGTTGAATTTTCTTGTGAATCAGATCCCACCCTTCTTCTAGTGCCCTCTAATTATTCAGATCCAAAGCTCGTCTGTTTATTTTTTTTGTATCTTCTTCTCGGTGATATTATACTTTTCTTAATGTTCAAGAAAACAAGAATTTGCTTCAGCATTGTGTGAAATGTTGGGTGTCTCCATCCTTTTGAATTTCGAAATTGCAGCTGCTTCTTGAACAGAAGAGATATGGGATGTGATTTCCCAGTTTGTGTTGTTATGCCTAAGCTCATAAACAGCTTCTGTTCTGTAATTATATTGAAAAATTCCACCCCCATTTTTAGCATTATCCTGGCTAATTTTCTGTTAAGGCTGGCATTGTTTGCAGTGTTCGAAAAATCACTACTACTGCTATTCCTTTAGCTGCCTAGGGGATGCCCGGTGTTTTTTAGAACACACACTGGTTGGCTACCATGTGCCCATTGCCAATGGAGTTAAACAAGTCATTTTTGACAATTCTTTGTAGCTTCAAGTGAATAATGGTTTAAATCAAAACGACACCTTAAACTTTCTTTGCTTCTTACTTCCAATGAACTTTTGGGTAGTTGATGCAACAATGCATCAAGGGTCCAACCGAAACAGCCACCATGTTTTTGTCTCTGACCTTCTACACCCCAATGGAGTTAGGATTATACTGTTTTTGTTGTTGAGTTAGGATTATACCGGTTTTGTTGTTGTGTACTTGTATTGTTTGGCTACTAGTTGTGATTTGTTTCAGAAACTCACATAAAGCATGTCAAAACTCGGGGGGGGGGGGGGGCAAAGGCTATGTTTGTGTGTGTTGAGTTTTGGAGGGGAGGCTATTGAAGGGCTCAAAGTTTGCTCCCACCTCCACCAAAGCATGTCAAAGCTCATTGTTTCAAACATAGCTTAAGTTTGCTCCCACACCCACGAACACGACATGCCAAAATTTTCTATTTAGAAGTTGATGCGCTCCGTAGGGTCAACGAATCAATAGATGGGCTCAAAATGGGGTCATCTTTTTGTTAGACTACAAAAATATTCTTGGGCATCCAACCATAGGTTTGAGTTTTGTGTTGAGTTGGTTCCTTACACTTTTCATATGCTAGAGCTTCGCACACAACTCCCCTTTCTGCATATCATCTACGGACACTTTTAAAATGCTGCAATATATTTTTGAAGTGTTCTTTCACCGGGTGCAGGTTGGAACTGGGTGTCACTAGTCCTAGTTTCACACCTTGAGGAGGATGACATCTAAACTAAAGAAAAGGTTGCGTTCCATTGTACCCCTCCACTTGCAGGGCGAATCCGCCCTCAGGTTTTGCTTGTTCTCTGATGTGAAGTCCTCAGTGTATAATAGCCCAGGCAACGCGCCCGTTTATGTTAATGTCTATGACTTGACTCCTGTTAATGGATACTTCTACTGGGCTGGTGTCGGCGTCTTTCACACCGGGATAGAAGGTCAGTCCACCCTCACACTCTTTGATGCATGAGTTATAAATATCTTGTTATGTAGTACTACCTCCGTCCCTATGTATTTGTCCAATTTTAACCTTTTGGAGTCAACTACTTTCAACCTCTGACCTATAATTAAATAAAATCGATAAAGAATGTTGATTCGATAAAACAGTATTTTGAAAATATTATATAAAACAAGTCTAATAAAATTACTTTTGTATCAACATCTAATATGTATTTTATTTAATTAGTGGTCAAAGTTTGTCAATTGTGACTGCAAAAAGTCAAAACTGGAGAAATATTCAGGGACGGAGGGGGTATATACTATCTTTCTTTTGTTTTCAGTTTATGGAGTTGAATATGCATTTGGGGCACATGAACACCCGACAAGCGGCGTGTTTGAGGTTGAACCTAAACAATGCCCCGGCTTCAAGTTCAGAAGATCCATTCTCATGGGAACAACGTTTTTGGACCCAGTCCAAGTTAGGCAGTTCATGGAGCGCCAATCTGCGAATTACAACGGCGATTCCTATCATCTCATCACCAAGAACTGCAACCATTTCTGTCAGGATGTTTGCCACAAGTTGACAGGGAACAACATACCGAAATGGGTGAACCGGCTAGCAAGAATAGGTGCCATATTCTTTTCCTAGCACACTAATCAGGGCTTGTTTTCTTCACCTGATCTAACTGGTTTTGATCTGATTGAAATAATTTCTGATGTGATCTGAGCTGATCTGATTCCAATAAGAATAAGTAATAAGAATAAGTTGAAGAGAACATGCTCTTATCTTCCCTTACCCCATATCAAATGACCTCTCATTCTTTATTCTTTTTCTCTTAACTCTTTACTTTAGGATCACTATGCAACTGCATACTCCCGGAATCCCTTAAAGCATCGGCTGTGCAACAGAAGAGTGAGGATTTTCACAGGGGGGGACGATGAAAAGAGGAATCTCAGAAGCTTATCCTTTGGCTGCTTGTCTTCAATCTCAATGCGACGAAGGGATAGGGAAGTGCCATTGTTCTTGCACTCGCATTGTTTGCCAACCTGGGGACTGAAGGCCTCTAGAAGCGGTTCTTTCAGGGAGTCTTGAGAGTACGTTTCCGAGCTTGGGACCTGAAGAAGCTTGAAGCTGTTCCTTATGGAGGGGAGATGCAACTTTAACCCCAGGGATGACACCAAGGTTAACGTTGTCGGAGAAAGTCATGCACACATAGTCATCGTCTCTGAAAAGTCATTGTTTGTGAAACACTGGCAGTGTCAGTCTTGGTGTGGTTGTAGCATGACCCTGATAGAATTATCTTGAAGAAGATCCACTATGAACTGATGCATAATGGCTTTGCCTTCTTTTAATTTTTTGAGTCCCCCCCATTTGGTGTGATTTTTTTGTAACTTTCGAGTAGAGATTTGTTATTGTTGTTATTGTGCATTTGAC